CATTAGCCGAGCTCACAAAGAGGAGACAAGTTCGATCGATCGAGTGGAGCAAAGAACCGGGGAATCTCGGAGGAGAGTAGTAGGTCAAACACGAACGGCGAGGAAAGCACCCGGGGATGGCTAAACGAGAAGGTTTAACCAGACGTCAGACCGGTATATCTTGTCGCTTTCGAACGCGTGCGACTTTTTAGGAGGGCTCGTGGAAACGGAGGACAAAGCGTATATAGGAGCATAGTTCGTGCGAAGTCGCAATTTCATTTCTCGATAATGATCGCGGTGGTGCGGCGTGTCCGTTTTTCCCGATGCTTGATTCGAACGTTAAACGATCGGCAATTACTGCCGCAGCTGGAGTTGAGACGAAATAAATAATAACGAACGGGACGGTTTCGTTACAATTGTTATACAACTCGATTCAGAAGATCATGTAATTGCGACATCTGCTCTGACATCCTTTGTTACGATATTCTTTTTCTGAACTTTTGTCCTTCGGGATAAAGTTAAGAAACTCATCGATTACGCATTATTAAGTCGGTTCGCATACAAAAATAGGCAGACAATTGCAATAGAATAAAAATCAATATTGAGGAGAAAGTAAAATAATAACACAATTATAAAATGGGAATGTGATTAGATAAGGAAAAGTGGTATCGGCAATAATTCTCATTTCCATCGTTCGGATCATGAATGTGATCATAAATATGCATTAAATAATTAATTAATTCTAAGAAAGAGGATAAGAAAAATGATAAAAACTTTAGATTATTCGGATAGTTTTGAAATGCTAGATGGATAATTTTAACTAAGGAGGGCAATATTCTTTTCTCGCATGATGCTTTCGACAATTGAACTGTTGATCGGCATACTAAGTTACCGTTAACCGTTTCTGATTAATATGCACCCTTATTGCAACAGGATGCATGCAACAGGATGCAAAAGGTGTTGAAACGAGAGATATTGTCGAGAAGGCTTGCCGTTGCAATTTATAGCAACCTATTGCCGGATTGTTTGTTTCCCAAACGTTACAGAAACTTTCAAAGTAGTATGGAGAGGGGACTAAATATAAAATGCGTGCACGCATCAATGCAAGTGCAACCTCGATGCCTTGGGAGCTATACTCCACAATGCAAATCAGCTTAATAATGTGTAATCGATGATACGCGAAGCCGAGGATCGGTCGGCGAATACTCGGAGAAAGGAACGGTTCATTGAACCATTCGATGCTTTGTTACGCGAGAAATCATTTTTTCTGCCAGGTAAAATCGATACAAATTATCCACGCGCGTAGGCATGCTAATCGACCCGGTCGTCACGCCCAGAAAAAAAAAATAGAAAAAAAGATGAACAATGGACCGAAAGGAAAATGATTTTTTAAAAATAATTTAAATAAACGAATTCATATATGAATTAATACAAAAACATGACAAGATTGATCATAAGTTATTAACATATTCGATGTTAAATAGCGATATAATTGTGAAAACATCTTAAATTTTGTTTAATCAATTAAAATCGTTTCATTTTGCCTTGACACGTGTTTGAATAGAATATGACATATTGAAATCACTCGTTTTAATTCGTTATTGCATTGTTCTTATTTTTGCTAAATTCTAAATTAAATTTTTTGTTGCAGTAATCAGAAGGAAGAAATGCATGATATTCTGAGAAATTGTCGTATTGTATCGTTATATCTTTCGTAATCTTGATAAATTTAATAAGCGAAGAACATTCTGTTTAAGAAGATATGGAGAAGAAATATATATTTTGAGCAGTAAATTTAAAGTTATTGCCATCGGACAAAAAAATATTTTTCTGTTCGAATATAAAGAAGAACAGTGTAAGCCTTTTGCACGATTTATTGTCACGTTCATGTCAGCAAAATGCATTCATGTTCCAAGCGTGAATGCCTCCTTATCTTATTAAAATCGTTATTGTCTGAGAAGATAACAATTTGCATGTTTATCGTATTTTAATAATGAAATAGTTTAAAGTCGCAATGATTGAAATTAAAAATGATATGTTTGGAGCCAAAGATTAGTCTATCCGCGCGACAGATAACTAAAGTATAAGATGCGCAAGCGCATCTTTAACGTTCACGAATTTTGTGTGTTAGCCTTATTTTGGAGAAATATTAAGAAATTATACTAAAATTTGTATAACAAAATAAACTCTTCATCGATGCACTTTAAAAAAGAAGATCTGATCGAATGAGAAAATAGAATGATGTCGAAATTTATAGAAGTGCGACTGAAATCGAAAGAAGTATACATTGGCACGGTTCATCGATTTCGTCACCGGAAAAAAAGGACAATATTTATGCAACAGTACCTAATAATGAGGCACCGTGAACAACGAATACAATTAGCAACGCATTTCCAATAATCGACGATCCGAGAAATTGAGATCGATTCATAGATAATATTGTCGAATGATTATATATTAAAATTCAATTACATATAGTAATTATCTATACGAGAAAACCTTTAATTATAGAGAATTTCCTTTCGGTGTAATGCAATGTTCTAATCTCGGGTAAGATCGAATATTTAACACGTAATAATGAGATTGATTAGAAGTTTATTTTAGAATAATGTCGTATATTATGTGCACGATAATATTATGAAAAGAAAATAAACATTTCAAAATATGCCTCTTTTTAAATTGCTTCAATTGGATATTAGAAAATTTGATGCTTACTTACGATAGACAGAAAGTTGTAACGTTGAGGTAACTAGATACCTCGGTGAACGACACCAGGACCAGAGAGACAGGTGTAACGTTGAATTGAATATGTAAAAGTAATAACGGTGTACACTTTCGATAAACGTAGTGGGCAATGCCACAAGTAAGTATATAACAACGCGTCGTCACGACTACTTCAAAGCACGAGGGCAAATAAGCTTCCGTACGCACGCACGCATGCACGCATGTATGCACGTTTGTATGCACGAATACCCGTGCAAGTCTCTTAAGAAACGAACATTGATACACACGCGGTTAGCGTACGCACACTACCGTCTGATTGTACATACATCACGTATCGTGGTAGCGACCGCAGGACGATGACAGCCATCCGACACTGTCTTACGCCAACTGGTGTTTACTACTGAAACGCTCCGTCGTCCCTCGAGCCATCGGCTCGGGACGAGGAACACACCGGGAAGCAGCGAGCCTCTTGATGAGTGCAACAGTTGCTTGACCGAGGCGCCCCACAATGTCGATTCCGATTATTAACACGATCCTATTCCACAGATGAGGTACAGAATAGATCTATCATCCTATGGAACATTACGTCCCATATTCTGAAATACCGATTGTGCAAAAAATTAAAATATGTATGCCCTCTACAATATAAACTGATGAATTTAACAATTCGATTCAAGAATTAATGTTGGTAAAATCAAAAAAAATAAAATCCTCTTTCGTAATATTTAATTAATATATATATATAATATTTGTATTATGTAATATGTTAGCATAAATAAGATACAAACAAAGTACAAAATAAACTTTTAAGGTTTATGAAATTAAATAAATTTGAGAATTTCATATTCTGAAATACCGATTGTTCAAAAAATCAGAGGTTTCGATATGCCCTCTATGATTTAAATTTAGAAATTATATCATAGATGAGATAGATGTGACATCTTGTAGAACTTTATGTTACATGTTCCAAAATGTCGGTTTCAAAATAAAACCAGTGTTTCTTATTTCTTTAAATAAATAAATTTTTATCTTCCAAACTATTAATCGAAAGATTTTAATTTTTTTTCTTTCCTAAACTAAGATTCCTAAATTATTGATTATCTAAATTAAAAGTTCTGTTCTTATATCTCATAATTATAAAAGGATATTATGAAAAGTTAAAAATTAAATAAATATAAAAATAAATTATTAGCTATTATTATAATAATATTAAATATTAATATTTTATATTTAATATATAATATAAATATTATAAAAATGATTAAAAATTGAGTGATTAAAAAGTATTTTATATGTTATTAAAATTTAATTAAAGAAAATTTTATGAAGATTCAATAGAAACTGACTTTTCTTCTGTGATTTGTTTTATATATATATATAGAAGATTGCAATAATTACGAAGCAGTTACGAAATTTAAAACAAGTGAAAATAAATGATTTCTGCCAATGGCATCAGAAATAACTTTTTAAATATAATAATAATTCGTAATTTATGCATGTAACAATTTTTTATAATAGTATATAGTTGATATATTTTTACAAAATAAAACTACATTTATAGTTCTACGATAATTTTCGATTTATCTGTGCTATAAAGAATAATACGAAAAAAATAGGAATATAATAGCCACAAGTTAAATTGATCGATAATAAGTAAATCGAGAATGTTATGATAGAGAAATGTTTTAATTTATATTAAATTATAAATGAAATTTATTGAAAAAATATGATTAATTAAATATTGATAATAATCTTACTAGAAATATAAAAATTTTAATGTTCTTAATATTAAATTGACATGATAAAAGTTTTGTTTTGCTATAAAAATATAAAATTCTATAGAAATATAGAAATAATCGATTAAATAAAGAATATCTTTTATAGAAAAAACAGTTCGAAATTTTCGTACGTAGTCACATTATTGGTTAAATTATCTTCTTCAGTTATGTGACAGTTAGTGTCACATTACATTGTAAACAAAAATTCAGTTAATGTTCTTCAGTCGACAGAGATATATGTGAGATATATGTGTATTCTATTAGTTATTGGATTGTGAATAGTGTATGAAATATTTTAAGAAAATTTATTCATCAATAATAATCGATAATGCTTTGTTATTTATTTTGTAAATGATCAAAATAATTTTCATTATTTGTACTTGTATTAAAATATACAAGGAAATTAATTTTTGTCTATTTTTAATATTTTGATTCAATTATACATAATGCAGAATTAAATATTAAATATAATTAATAATAATAAAAAATACTAATTAAAAAATATTAATAAAATAAAATAAACTTATTACACTGAATTATTGAAATGGCAAGAAAATTAAATGTGGTAAGAAAAATCTTTATGTAGGAAAAACTTTTTTGATTTTTTTATATTAGAGATCAATTAATTGTTTATGGTTTGTTCCAATTGACAGTTGCTAGTATTAAAGAAACTACAATTTCTTGAAGATGTTGAAAAATTAATAAAAGAAGGGAAAAATTATTTATTTCGAATGAATAAGTTGTCTGATAGTTTAAGAATAGATTCATATCAATATAAAAAAATCTTATACTTTATGGATCGTTACTCACGTGTAAGTTCGAAATAAAAAAAATATATATTTGTATTAATAGTTTATTATTTTTCTTTAAATAAAACAGATAATCTTTGTTACATAATTTCCAAATATAGTGTAAAACACAATTAAAAGAGAATATAGAGGAATTAAAAGATATGTTCGATAATAACAATATCGATGGTATCATAGATGAAGAAGAGACAGATGAAGAGAATGAGATAGAATATATAGAGGAAGAAGATTTTCTTCTCGAAGAACAATTTTATCATTTTCGTAATATAATGTATCTAAAGAATATGCTCGCAAATATGGAAATGTTAATTTCACGAATGTTAAATATAAATGGATCCCTTGTAAATCTTCAGTTATCAAAATATGCAAGATTGAAGATCGCATTAAAAAATTATTCCATAAAAGTATATGAATTTTTGAAAAACAATAAAATACTCGTAGAATCTAAAAATAATTTTGAGAAAAAACAATTCACGAAAAATATTCAAGATAAATTTATACAACTACAAAAACTTATAATTCAGATTGCCAAGGTATAGTTAAAACTATAGAAAAATTACTATAATAAAAACTAATTTAAATTATATAAAATTATATAATTTGAAAAAAAATTATATAATTTTTATTGCAAATAATTAATAAAAATTCTTTTTTAAATACAGAAAGAAATATTCTTTACGGATGTTATGGTGCGCAATTTGCATGATATCTCTAAACGAAGAAAGTGAAGAAAATTAATTAACATTTATATCATATGATGTCATTATAAAATATAATTTATTTTTTTAGATTACATATAATATGAAAAAAAGTTAAATTAAATTAACAGCATTAAATAATATATTTAATTTCTATTATTATTTATTAAATTTATTTTATACCTTGTCTGTTAATAATTTTCAATTATCAACATGTGATCGATTTGTTCCTTGTAAAAAATCCAATTTGTGTTGTACATTATATAAATGAACATTGAAGCACCATCTAGCGGAGAATAGAAAGAACTATGATTAAATAAAAGAATCGAAAAGTTTTTCGATTCTAGGGTGAATTTAAAAGTTTAAAAAATTAAAGAATTAATTTAAAAATTTTATTTAAAAATGTTAAATCATTTAATAATTATAATTTAAATTTTGAAAATTATATAATTTACGGACCAAAAAGGATAAATATTTAATTTAAATAACTTTTAAATCGAAATTATCGATATATCATTCCATACAATCAATATAAAATTTTATGCATGTTTTTTTTTACCATTTATTTAAAATAAAATTCAATTGACTTTTAGATATTGTATCTACATTGTTACAATTATTATTTTTAAATGCACAAGATTTTAAAACATATGAATGATAACTTTCTATTAAACATATTTCTTCATATAAATCTTCTGTAGACATTTCTACAATAAGTGCGCATTCGTTCAACAACCAACGAAAAGTTCGTGGTAAAACTTTTTCAAATACGGCGAAATTTTTAGATTTTACACGACTAAAAATACAATGATACATCCAATACTCTTTAAATGGTCTAAAAAATTGATATTTCTTATGTGCTATACTTTCTTTCTTGTCAATATCGTTAAAAAATGTAATGTCACTTAGATTCAAATAATCATCTATATTAAAAGTATCACTTTTTAAATCTATATTATCAATATTGATATCATTAATGCTAATATATTCAGGTAAAAATAATTCCTCTTCGCTATTTTTAGCATTGGAATATATTTCATTTTTGTTTGTTTGTATATTATTGTGAAAATTTATATTCTCTGTATCTGAAAGAAAATCATCGTCATTTTTTTCAATATTTATGGATAAAGCATTTCCTTTGATAAATTGGCCTTTAGTATTTCGTTCAAGTTGAATTTTAGATCGTACTTTTTTCATTGTATTCGATTTAAAAATAGATTCTTTTTCTGCTTGTGATAATTGTAAATTGTATTTATCATACATTTTTTTTTCTAAAAACATAGTTTCTGGATCTATATTAATATAATTAGAAACTTCTTTTTCGTCTTCAGTATCACTATCAGTAGGAATTGCTAGTTTTCCATTAGGGAGAATTTCGGTAAATTTAAAGTTATTCCCTATATGTATGTTTTCTAAATCCTTAATCACATTGTCATAATACTGTTTTTTAACGGCATCGAATTTCATGGTACATGGTATTTTAGCATGTAAATATTCATTCACATTTTCGCTTCCAAGTTTATGTTGGTCTTTTAAGTCATCTTGTACATCGACAAGCTGTTTCAATTCTTCTATACTTGGCATTCTAGGTTGCTCAAATTGAGGTACATTTTTTTCAACAAAATGTACATTTGAATCAATTATTTCTAACTCTATGTCACATTTCATTGCTAATTCTATTAAGCTAAAAAAAAAAATAATTAATTTATTTCAATTAGATGTGATTAATATCAGAATATTTCTAATTAATTATTACTAATTACTTACGACTCAGATTTTGTCATGTATCCAACTTTTGTAAGAAAAAAATCATTTTGTAATATATTAGGAATATCATTGAGCGGATTATCTAATAAACATTGTAAATATGAATAAAGCGGAGTTAGAGATGGTGGAAATATATCTATTGTCTTCTCTGATGGTAATAAATCGTTAATGTTTAAGCTAATTATATGTTTTTTCATGCCATTAATAAGTTCTTCTGGTAAAAAATGTTTCGGATTTTTTATATTTACTTCATTTTTATTCGATTTAGAAGTTATAAATTCTAAGAATTTTAAATATAAATCGTCAATTCCATCTAAGTCGGGATAATATTTCATTTTAGTTGGATAATGTGCACGAGATAAAATTGTTTTTCTGCATTCAATATATCTTTGCCATTCTTGAAAATTAAAAAGTTTTTCATTCAGTAAACCACGTTCAATAGCTACGCTGAAATAAAAAAAATTTTAATATTAATAAAATGAAGATTAATATAGTTTACCTATAATATAGAATAAATAATCGCATTAAAAATACAATTAAAGCAGGACATTCGCATTCGCATTTGCAATCTTTTTCGATTTTGTATAATTCTCTCCTTTCTTCATATAATTTTACTCCATATGTAATTAAATCATTATCAATTACAGCATATGGCATTTTATCAGAAGTAAAGTATGTTGCCCAATGACCATTTGATTGAAGTACAATTCCACCACCGACTTTTTCATATTTTTCTAACATATAAGAAAAATTTTTATAAAGAGCTTCCATGTGTGAAAAATTATGTTCAATGTCTTCTACGATTGCACGAGCTAATCCTAGTTTTGTTATAGATTCTCCATGTCCTGTTAAGGAACAACCTATATTTCTAATAGCATAAGTACCACAACCCAATAAAGGAGAATCTCCTACTCTTCCTACCAATTTTTTATTTAAACCACCTGTTGTAGTTCCAGCAGCTATGCTATATCCATCATATGCTACACAACCAACAGTTCCGGTATTATCTATAAATATTTAATAAGTAATATCTATAAATAATAATTACATGAATACATAAAAATTAATTTTTCCAACATTGTTTTAAAAATATTTACTGTTTAACATATCGATATCCATTAAAATTTTCTCAATATCAGCATCTAATTTTCCTTCTCCTTCTGAATAAAAAGCTGCACGTGCAGCAGGTGATACCATATTTCCCTCTGATAAGAAACTTAAATTTGCATATTTAGCTAAATTTTTAGCTCCCTCACCCACAAAAATAGAATTTGGAAAATTATTCATAACATATTTTGCAAGTGTTATAGGATGTTCTATATCTGAAACTGCTGCTACTGATCCACATTTGAATCTATAGCCATCCATTATACTTGCATCCATTTCAACTTTTCCTATATTAGGAAAATTTATATATAATATGATAATATGATAAAAATTGATTTAATTGACCTTTATTATTATACAGGATATATAAAATACCTATTTCATTTAATACAGATCCATAACCAGAATTAAAAAATTCATCACATTCTAACCACCATAATGCAGCTTCTACAGCATTTACAGAAGTTTCACCACTTATTAATTTTTTATAACCATTAATGGCAGCTTTTTTACACGCTGTCATTTTTTCTATAGCTATAGAATCACTAAAATTTCCCGCACCGCCATGTACGATTATACATGGAATAGTATTTTTATCACATATACATTTGTCCTTAATTTTTGTATTATAACAAAATCCGAATTCCATTTTTATTTCAAATAAACTACTTATTTCTTATATTAATAATACCATACATCTTCAGATTTTGAGGTTCAAAACATAAAACAAAATATATAATGGATATTCATTTTTTCAACATACCTATTGATTTTTTCTGCAATTCGACTGATATAATATTCAGTTATACCATCTAAACCAAGCAAAGTTTTCAATACTACTACAATAAATGCAATTGCACGACCTTCATAATTTGGAATATATGATTTTTTTATATTAAATATCATTTTAGGTGGTGATAAAGCTATTAATCTTTCTGTATATAATTGGATGCCCCCTAAAATTATATATAAATATATAATATTAAATTAATATTAAGAAAATGTAAATAAATTGGTAATGCAAAAAAATCAAAAATATAAAAATAAATATCAAAATTATACATATATTATATATATTATAATTGAATAAAACATTCATACTTGGTAATCCTAATTCTTGACAATATCTCTTAATTAAAGATAAAAAATCTGGGCAAATTATATCCCATACACCAAGAAATTTTGCCATACTCGCAATAATTCGTCTCATTCCTTTATGTGTAATTTCAACATTTTGTCTTAAGAAGCTTCTTTCATTAGCTGTTAAATTCACTTCTGGTGGCAACAAATGATCCAATTTATAATAAGATAAATGTCCTTCTTTCCCATATCTATATACAAAGAAAAAATATTTTAATTAAAAAAATTTTGAAGTTTAAAAAAAATCATAAAAGTATATTTATTACACACCTTAACATATCTCCTAATTGTATAGGTTGATCATGAATTCTCAAAGCTAAATATATAATTGCCCATAGTCGCATAGGTGTCATTATATGAGGTCCCATTTTATATTGATTACTTATATGCTTGGCCCTATATTTAATTCTTTCAGACCTAGGTATGTTTTTAGATAATTTTTTAATTTTTCTTGCTTCTTCTTTGGCATGAGAACTAAATTGTACTCTACATAAATTAAAAAATATAAATAGATTATATTCAATAGATTAAATTTTATTGTATAAAAGAGCTAAAGACTTACTTTCCATCATTATCTGAAGAATTGACAGAACTAGATTGAAAACTGTATATACTTTGACTAAATGAACTAACCCCATCACCTAAAGAACTACTTTGAGACTGAAGATATCTATCGTATTCAGCTGTTGCTAAAAGTCTCTAAATAAATATAGTTTAGAAGAAGTATAAAATAAAATTAATTTTACTTTAATAAATATTATAAAAATTACTTTATTTTTTTGTAATTCTCTCATAGAACTTCCCTCACTTTGACCACTTGATATTATAGAAGTATTTGTACTACTCCCAGTTCTTTTGCGTTTTCTGTGCTTCTTTTGGGATTGCACTTTGCCATAAATAATTTCAGCATCTCTAATACATTGTATATTAATTTATTTATAAATATATATAAATTTAATTCTAATTTTATTTCTAACATACCTCCTTTTATATCTTCTAGCCAATTTTGGCAAACATTTTTTCTTAGTTGATATAAATGCTACCTCAATCTTGCCTAAATATGTTGCCCATAATTGTAATATTGTTAATTTTATTTCGGATGGAATTCCAAGTTCTATTAATTCATTTGTTAATCCAATTAAAACAAAATTATATAGTTCCCATGATGTCCATCCAAGTTCCTCACCTAATAATTGAATGAAAAATCATAAATATTTAGAAATGTTAAATAATATTTGAATATTAGAATAATTTAATTTAATAATGTATATAATATAATAAATAATTAATATATATTAAAACAAACCTGATTTATTTGATTTTAATTGTCTTATTTTTGTCTTTCGTAATCTAGTTGAATTATCTATATGTAATTCAAGAATCTCTTCTCTAATATCCTATAAAAATAATCGAATTATTTGATAAATTGTCTTCGAAAAAAAAAAAATTGCAATACCTCGTTCTGCGTTTGACATGTTTGACAGAAAAAGTAGCCAGCTTCTTTGTAAAAATCTGTACCGTCACAAATTCTACACTTTTGCATTTTTCCGTATGTTTTTAATAGAAATTTTGTCTTTTATTAATTGTTGCATTTATGCTACAATTAAATATTATAGGTTATAATACTTAATGTATTATAGGTTATAATACTGAGCACGTTGGAGATTTAAAATTTCTTCTCGCGGTTTCTAAATTTCTTACGTATCCGCATTTAACATGAATCGTAATTGGTGTAGGCTGGACGAATGATATATTGGTTATACGAGTAAAGTATATCCCCTAGTGGGAGCATAATACAGAATATAACCACTAATTTACGGTTGAATTTTCAGAGAAATGTAAACAATAATCGAAGTGTTTATTGCAGAACTTTGTTATTATTGAAACGTGAAGTACATAAAATATAGTTTGATCAATATTATAATAATCTTTTTTGATACAATAGTTCTTGAATTGTGTGCTAGAAAATTTTTTACGTCAACAAAACTATAGATCGATCTCACAATTGATTCGTTTATAGTAGCGTCTTAACCTCTGTGTAGCATCATAAACTTCAAAGAGTTATGTTGATTTGATTAAAAAACATGATTAATTTTTTTAATGTTTATAAACAACGTTCTTTACAAAAGCTTATAGTTAAAATATGACAGTGTATTAAAAGAATAAAAGATGACAAAGCACATATAGTTCGTGATTATGGAGTATGACTCTGCATCGAACTGTGATGATCATCTGCGAGAATATGAAACTTCAGAAGATCTTCGGCATTTAAGAGAAATACATAAACTTGAACGTCCAACCTGTACTACAAGTTCAGCACCATGGCATTCTCTGCAGGTTGTGACATCACAATCAAAACTCAAATCAGGGACAACAAACAAAAGTCTTTCTTCTCAGGTGATGGAATATTATCACAAGTATTCTCAAAATGCAAATTTGGATCAATATTTTTCACTGCCTTCAACTAGTACATCACCAGAAGCGGTTAAATGTTATTATAGCATATATGAAGTAAATCCGAAATTAGAGGTTAATAGACAGGATTGTATAGGAGAGGAATATAATTTAAAATCTTATGTGCCTAGAGAAAGAAGAAGATGGACGAGACCACCTCTTATTGGTCAATCTTCAAATACAGAATCATCATCCAGATATGTCCAAACTCCATTGTCAAATCTTAAATCTCCATCACCTGATTTAAAACATAATACATCAGAAACAATCTTAGAAGAAAAAAATGAAAATCAGGAGATATTAACAGAAGCTATAGAAAGGAAAATATCTTCTCCAACTTCTAGTATTGCTTCTCATAAGCCACTCGAATGGGATAGTGGAGCGGATGTTGGTTATTTTAATACAATACCCAACAATAAACAAAATGATAAAAAATTAAGTACAATAGAACGAATGGCTTTAGCTAAAGGTTGTTCCGCTGCTTTAAGATTGGATCCTGAAGGTACCACAGAATCAGGAATCTCTGGAAAACTTGCAGGAGTTCAAACAAATTCGACTAATTCTATGATTCCTGATGCTAATTCTACTCCATTGTTGGGAAATGCTTCAGGATCGGAAAGCGAAATTGAAATTACACCTATTGTGAAGAATCATTTACCCGGTATAATATCGGGAAATGGAATAAAATCTAACGAAAAATTTTTTTCTAAGGATCTCAAACACCAAAATATTTTAATGCAGTATTCGAAAAAAGAGTACAACTATGACACTCCAAAATCGACTTTTGCATCTAAGATACCTTTTGCAAAATTCGCGACTGAGGTAAGAAAAGTATCGAACAAACAGAATACGAACAAAGAAAATATATGTCCCCCAACCTCACCTTTGAAAAAAAGCACATCGATGAACACGTTATTCATACCACCCTCTAAATTACCATTGAAAAGAAGTCAAAGCGAGTTGAATTTGTACGGTAGAGATAAGGGCAAATCTGCGTTGCCATTAATTTTTAATTCTTCATCCTCGATCGCTACTATTGTAAATAAACCTTCCACTTGTGATAAAGTTATACAGACGACTTTATACGCTTACACTCAAGAATCCGTTGGCGTCCAAGTTTCGGCTCTCGAGGAAGAGAAGCCACCGTTACCAAAGAGAGGAACTAGTTTGCAAAAGGGTTCGACATTAATGTTGAAGAATCCAAAGGATACGTACAAAGTTCAAAATTCAAGGAAACAGAAAACCAATGAAACGCAAAATGCTGAAACGAACGGAGAAAGGAAGGAGATAAAACCGCAGCAAAATTATTCGGAACAATCGCAGAACGAATCGGTCAGGCAAACACCACAGCCTGATACGGAAAATATAACGGGTAGGGCGAACAGCTTTGAGTATTTTCCTGGTCATGTATACGAGAACGTTCCTAACGGAAGCGGTAGCCATATTTCATCTTCAGAGACGGGAAGATCTCATTCTACCCTGCCTAATACCAGCTCCAGTATTAACGAGAAATTATGGGGTGACTCGGATAGCTTGGTAAAGGATCTAGAACGAAGCGTGAATATTTTGAAGAGTCTGGTCGATGCGAATAAATGCGACAAGGAAATTAAGAAAAGACTGATACATCACGTAGTTAAGAGATTAATCACCGCCAAATATACGGATGATAAAATTGAGCATAATTTAGAAGATAACGTTCCGTGGAATCCAGACGATGCCAGGAGCAAAGTTTACGGTAGGGAGATACTTCAGGCAATAACGAAAAATCATAATACCAGCGATTCTTCGACCGACTGGAATTTGCAGAAGGAGTTGGCTCAGGGGAAATCTACGAGGAGCGGAAAATGTATGGCAAAGAACGTTACATCGGAAAGTAGTAGTGATAAAATAGATAAAAATACAGACAGAACGGAAACGGATGGACGAAAAGCAAGGATGGGTCTTAGATCGGATGATTGCCATCGAAGCAGCAATACTATGACCGACAAAAGCGAAAGTTCCGAATGCTTCTTCCCGCAAAGAAGTCGTAAAGGGAACAAAATGCAGGACATATTTTGCATGAAAGAGTGTAAAATGCAAAGAGATTCGAAGATGACGACAACTAGAACGACGACAATGACAACAGCTACGACGAATAATACAATTGATCATAATCGAATGTTATTGGACGCGGTTGTTAACAACAGGAGAAATGTTATTCGTTCGAGCAATACAGGGGAACAGGATGACTGGAGGCTACTCACTACGTTTTCCGAAAGGCAATTCGAGATGAAGAAGCATAGCAATTCCGATTCCGCAGATTCGAAGCTAGTTAGTTATGCTGAAATGGAGAAAAGGAATCAATTGATCTGGATCACGAACGAGATCAGCCACTTGTGCAATCTAAAGAAATTATTGGAAGAGTCGCGAAGACCAGATAGATTGCGAACGTCTCCGAAAAAATCGAGATCGGGAAATTTCAAGAGAAAACCGATGGAAACATCGTCGCACGAATTGTCCAAAAACGATTATTGCAATTGTTCGGATTCACAAGTTAATTCGTTGGAAGATCCATGGTCTTCTCATTGTAATTTAGCGTGTCACCATTCCAGCACATCTACCAGTATTATTCAACATATTAAAAAGCGAAACAGTTGTGCGCAAACGGCAACAAATATTACTGGGGCTTTGTCAAAGACTGGTGGTGAAATCGTGTCCGTTTCAAACTTGCACAATTTCTCGATTAAATTAGTCAGTATCGGTGTACAAACCATACCTCAAGAAACGTCTACAATTCCTGCTTTGATACAGTCGGAAATTGTACATTACGTCAAATGTCCCGCGCACAGTTCGATGCAGATTCAAAATAATCACAAATGCACCGAGCAAATAAGCCAATGCGTGAAGCATCATGCCATTCAGAATCTAGTTACTTGCACGCAATGCTCACAGGAACAAAAGGAACGATTGACCGTTCAGAAGGTGCACACAAATATCGAGAACTTTCAGGAGGAGAGTCCAGTTAGCTCGCAGACGTTTTCCGATCAGACGAACGGTAACAGTATCACCTCGATGGAAATACCTCATCATTGCGTTCAGGCCAGTTCATCGAAGCAAAAGGAAACCAAGAATCAAATAAACATTTTGAAGTTGAAAACTTGCGATTGTAAATGTGAGAGTAAAAAAACATTGTCGAAAGGATGTCAATGTAGCTCGTCGGTAATTACAGTGGAATGCAACAACGTTTCTAAATGCGAGGAATACCAGAAGAAGATGTTCCATGCGCGCGACAAAGAGGATGGAAACTCGAAAGAATGTAACTGTACAACTGTGTGTACAGAATATGATAACGAACAATCGAAGAAAGGTCGGGCACCAATGAAATATAGTTCAAAAGATTATCAGATTAATAATGGATACTCATCGAGCTTGAATCAAAATGATTATATCAAGTTGTGCGGTTGTTCAAACGATTGTTTCTGCGAAAATAATCGCGAGCCGGAAGTTCAAAACGCAAAAATGTTGTGTAGTTGCCATTCAAATGGGAAAGCTCAACACAACGGAGTTCACTTCCATGGAGAAGTGGAAGATTGTTCGGTTCAATTGTGGCCTTATTGGGTGAATAATGGACAAATCAACGAAACGGCTCAGTACAAAGTACAAAGCAATGTAAAATGCAAATGCGAGAAAGATTGTTTTTGTAATAATAGGGGAAAAACTAGCGAGGAAATATCGCATGGCAAAGCCTGCACCAGTGGCAAACCAAATTATGTAGACGAAGCGAATCAAACGAGTGATTCCGATAGAAATTGTAAGTACTGTCGTCGTTGCGGTGCAGCTTATGTCAAGAAATGTAATTGTTATCAAACGTATCCGAAACCGATCGCGTATGAATTGTCGTTCGCTAAGGAGAATGGTCAGAAGAATGATAATTTGGGTGCGTTGCCAAAAGTGCCATTATCGAATCGTAGTATTTACGAAAATAAAATAGATGGCTGTGTTTGCAACATGATTAAAAAAGTTAGTTCAAAGAAAAATTCTCCGCAAAAAAATACTTTACAAGTAAGTATTTGGAATAAATATGTTAACTTATTTATATTAATTAATATATTTCGATTTTTTTAGGATTATTTGTCTAAGAATAAAGCAGATTTTGTAAATAATGCGGAAACGCGTCGACAATACATGTCGGAAATATCTCATTTGCGTCAATTGCGGAAAGAAAAACGAATACAATTGTTGGCTATGGCTAGTACGTCGAATGTTATAAAATCGACGAAAACTTCTTCTAAACCAGGTAAAGATTTTATTTCAGTTTTAATAAAATTATTTACTTTATCAACATTTTTATTCGTATTTCTAATCGTTTTATATACAGTTCCACAGAAGAAAATGAGCAACGAACAGATGAGGGAAAGATTGCGGAAACGGTATCTTCGTTTGAACGAAGTGCGATATAAACGGCTGCAACGGGAAAAGCAAGAAGAGGCGCGACGTAATAAACTTATGGCCAAAATTTTTTGTAAGAAATTACAGCAGAAGGTATTGAGGGGCCAAGTAGATCTGTCTCAAAGTGTTAGCGTTATATCCAACTTGTAATGTTAAAGAAATGTTTGCGTGTGCATAGTTTAAATATCAATTAGCAGTCTGATTGTACAGATTGTACAGATTGTACAATTGTACAGACAATAGAAGAACGTACAAATTATTTTACCTTTCAACCTGAAAGGATTATTAAAGATTTTTGTTTTCAGAATCTTCTTCTTGAGTATTACTTTTCTCTACTTTCAATACTGCATAATACGTACTAACATTGTGTTACTTTTTAATCGAAGACGTGTTTTTAAAATTAATGATTTTAAGATGTGCATGAATGTATAAGAAAGTTTGCGTGTAACACGTTCACAGAATGATAACGTAATTAGATCCAAGTAATTTAGATCCAAGAATCTTTGACACGCATCATGATTAAGATATTTAATGCGTTGTTCTACATATTTGTGCCTAGAATTTATGATATTTAATATTGAATTTAAGGATCTTTGTCTTGCCAAGATATTTTCATACTAAAAGTAAACAACCGATGCACATATGTTAAATCTGACATGATAATGCAATAATAATTTTCATTATCACGTGAAACAATAGGGAACTTCACAACATTGAGATTTTATATTTTAATAGTAAAATGTTTCGAAAACTGCTGCGTCGAAAAAGCGTTCATTTGGAAATACATCGCTTGTTCGTGGAAAATTGAAATGCTTTAAGATGATGAAAGTAGTTATTAGTACCTGAATTACAGTACACAATTCTTTGCTATACATAAGACTTAGATAATATAATCTCTTGGATTTTTACCTTTAATATTTTACCATTTTGTACGACGATTATACTCATTTGGTTAATAAAGATAAAGTGAATCCTTGAAACAATAGTTTCTTTGTTATTTTATTCTTATATTTTATGCATATATGCGATATGCATACTCGACTTCAAAAAATTGTTCACTTTTTATCCAAACATATGCAACCCGACTGATTTCTCTTTTAACGTTCCATTTTTTTTTTCGTTCTTAATAATTGTCTTTTTTTTATTCACATCTGCAACACGATTTCTCTTTTAACATTCTATTTTTTTTATCATTCATTTAATATCCTTGGTTACTAAATTCTAAAAGTATGAAATATAGAAGAAGAAAATTGATTTATTTTCTTCCATTCATATCAGTTTATATTTATATAATTTATCTAATTAATTGAAATATGAAGATATTAAACATTATATTAAGATATTAATTTTTTATATTAATTTTTGAGCAATCAAATTAGGTATTCTTTTCATCGCATATCTAATAGTTAAAAGATAAATTATATAACATATTTCCTATATAATACTCAATCGAAAATTTACAATTGATCATAATAATATTTTGTTAAATTAAATAATAATTGGAAAACATACGAAAAGATGATCCTTTCGTCTTTTTTCGTTTCAAAGATCTTAGAGTTTAAAATAATATAAAAGTTTTCTAAATATCAATGTATGTCAAGGCATTAAACAAGTTTATTTGAAAAATGATTTGCGTTCCATTTCAAAGAACAAATGAATGTTCGAGAAGAATAATCGGTTGAAAGAAAAAGTTGTATAAGATCCGGTAGTAACCTTGTTTCAGTAAAATAACATTGAAACAAAAACCATTCAACGATATTAGTTCGTTTTTCTTAATTACCAGCTGCTCTATATAAGGACATTCACGGATTTCAAGATAGTCAATTTCCTCCTTATCTTTAGAGACTGGCAAATAAGATATATAAGTTATTAGACTTTTGATATAATTATACATATAATTATACATATAATGCATAAATTTAAGTGATGGCTCCCCAAATTGGAAATGATTTGGACCAAATTTTGAAAGACAAATTTACTACTGAATTTCGCAAAGAATATACCACTATACAAGGTGTTTGTTTGCCAAAAAAATATGAGGATTTCGCACAAATAATTGAAAATTTCGAAATAAGAGATGATGATGTTTGGATTTGTTCTTTTCCTAAAACTGGTATCACCTTTTTATCAATTTTTATTAAGAGAAAAGAAATATCAAATGTTATATACTTTCTATTTTACATAATCGTAATCATTTTATAAATGTTACATAATCAGGAACAACATGGACACAAGAAATGATCTGGTGCATAGCAAATGACCTGGATTTTGAAAGAGCAAAAGTTCGCTTGTCCGAAAGATTTCCTTTTTTAGAGTAAGTTAATAAAGTTTAATATTTTAGAAAGGAAGAATATCGGAGTAAGAATTATTTATTTGATCAGGTACTCCATACTTTTCGATTACACCACTATTATACGACGTCATCCGGAAATTGAGCCCTCTCCGTTAATCTTGGATAGTGTGGCGTATATAAAAAATTTACCTTCTCCAAGATTTATCAAAACTCATTTTCCTTTTCCCTTACTTCCACGTCAACTTCGAACGGGCGAGAAAAAGGCGAAAATTATTTATGTTAGCAGGAATCCAAAAGATACTTGTGTTTCTTTTTATTACCACACTAGATTAATGGAGGGGTATCGTGGTGATTTTCACGATTTCTGTCGCCTTTTTTTAGGAAATAAACGTATGTACACGTGTGTTGTTGAAATTATTAATATTAATTTCATTATTATTTATTATTATCTTCTTAGTGAGCTTTGCTCCATATTGGGATCACATACTTGATTTCTGGAAGAGGAGAATCGATCCAAATATTTTATTTTTGAAATACGAAGAGATGAAATCTGTAAGTAATATTAAATATTCTCAAATTTGTAAGTGATCTTAAATATTCATACATGAAAGATATGATGAAAGTTTCTTTTGTCAAATGTAGGATCTGCCTACGGTGATAAAAAAAACAGCTGCGTTTCTTGATAAAATTTTAACTAATGATCAAGTAGGAACGTTGGCGCAACATTTGAGTTTCAACAGTATGAAATCAAATCCTGCAGTGAATTACGAGGAACATATAATATTGAATAAACAAATGAAATTGATCAATGTCGATGGTGAATTTATTCGAAGTGGTAAAGTTGATCAGTGGAAAGAAGAAATGCCCGATAGAGTGATCGAGGAATTCGATAAATTGACGAAAGAAAAATTTTCCACGCAAAATCTTTTCTTTTGAACGATATTGTACAATAAATTTCCACCGACATCCTTGGAAACTTGATATAATAATTATCATGATGTAATAAAATTGAATAAAATGAAAAAAAAAAAAGATTTTATCGATTTTAATATCTAATAAGACAATAGAAATTACTGTAATGCTCTTGTTTCTGGTTCGAGACATCGAAGAATTTTTGGCATACAGGTTCTACAAAGTTCACCAATTGAAGCTTTGGTCAAAGGTGTAACAACGCTCATATCGCTTCCTCTTTCGATCAACATAATCGCTGCATCCCTTTTTCTGCATAAAATTGCTATTTGAAGGGCGGTAAATCCTATGTCATCTTGCGTATTGACGTCAGCTCCACGATCCAGCAAAATCGAAAGAATATCCAAATTGGAACGATACACTTGACAAAAAAAAAAAAAAATATCCTTAAAAATAAATACTCCATCTGGTTTTGCATTTTTTCATTTTTATTCCTTTTCATTTTCTTACCTGAGATCATAAGCGGTGTTCGTCCCTGTACATCTCTCTGATTTATACAAACGCCAGCATCTAGAAGAAATATGACGTTCTTCGGTCGTTCTCCCACGATTGCATACTGAAGACAAGCCCAGCCTCTACTATAAGTGTACGTTGATTGAATAAAATCACATTTAAATTGTAACAATCGCGCCTTACATATCCATTTTTTGAGGATCTGCACCTTTCTTCAATAGAATCTGCAAGATTTCTGGATTTCTCGAAACGAAAGAGGCGTACATAAGAGCAGTTCTGCCCCAAGGTTGAGTAATCGTACCATCTAAATTTGTCGAGTTTTTCTCTAATAAAAACGACAAAATTTGCGGATCACCGCGATCAATGGCTGACGTTATAGGAGTTCTCAAATTTGGTGTGGGATAATGTAAATCTATCGTTGGTCTACAATTATAATTACATTTATAATTAAATCGAAGGTGTATTTGTTCGTATACCTGCTTACATTTTAGTTAGAAAATCTTTAATCTTTTTGACAGTGGCAAATCTAAGAAGCCACATAAATTGTTCCTCGATCGAATCTGTGAAATGTAAATTGTTAATATAAGTAATTAAGAAATATTTTAATATTCGAGATTATCTTACCATTTTTTTCATAATTAAATTTCGTGTTTGACATTACAATATTTCAGTTTGTAAATGCACGTACTTATGTTATATTTTTGGGCCAACTCTCGAAATCGATCAAACATCATACACCTGTGTTTCATTTAAATATACAGTATTTTATATCTATATTTTATATCTATTTATTCAATAGTCAATTGTACGTCTATACAATTATTTATATCGACTTCCTTCCTTTCTTTCATTTTCAGTCATTCTTTGACGTGCATTCAATATCAATGAGTATTCACATATGAAAGTTCAGTGACACCTCTTTTGACAATCCAGCAGAATCTAATATACCATTCGTAGGTATATATATTCAAGGTATCTCCAAAACATGCATACTTTCTCTTCGAGACCACGTGCCAAGGTAGCTGGAGTACAGTATACTGACCATAGTATACTGTATAGAATACTCTGTATCGAAGTCTACTTTCTAAAAGACGGCTGCTTGGAACAGCGTCCATTACAGTGACTGCGTGCCTTTCTCTCTTTTCTCGAGGCTTTGTCATCTAACTTGAGATCAAGCCATTTTTTATTTCATAAATTTTAACAATAATAAAATCGTGCAAGAACAAGGTGCAAGACATATATGACAATTCAAGGAAGATGAAGTGATGGCAGATGTTACAAGGAGATGGATGAAAGACACAAAGGCACATGTCTTTGTGATAATTTTGACATGCGTGATATGTTCTGTCTATGGCTGTTCCGGTATGTCTCTTAAATTATTCAATTGCGTAAAAAATATTAAAAATAATCGATTAAAAGTATTCTAAACAATAAATGTAAATAAACAATTGACATTTCTTGATCAAGTATCGATGTTTCCAAATATAGCTTTTATTTTTTCGAATATTTGATAAGTTGATATTTGATAAGTTTAATTGACAAATATTTGATGCGTTAATAAATCATTAACTCATTTAAATGAATATGCTATAAGTTAAAATATGAAAACAAAGATAAAAATATAATTATTATTCCATTTCTCTCATTTCCTCTTGCAATTGTGATTTCAAACAAAGAATTTTTAAGTGACTCATGATGAAATGAAATCAACAGAATACGATCGATTAGACGGTGACGAATATAAAGGCAAATGCATTGGAAAACTAAATACGTATCATCATGAAGTTTCCGGTGAAGTTTATGCCGTCGACGAGAATACGTTATTGCTGATTAATTTTAAATACGATGGTAACGGAGCTGATACATTTTTCTTCGCTGGTGCATCCACGCGAGCTGGTCCACACGGTTTTATCGTGCCTGACGAATGGGGCAAGTCAGTATGATTTAATTTAAAAAAGATTAATGTAAAAACACAACGAGATTTTTATAAAAACGTGTTTTTATTTTAGAACAAATGTCCTCGATAAATATTTCAATAAAAATCTCACTCTTAATTTGCCAGATGGTAAAACGATAGCAGATATAAAATGGTTTGCGATATACGACTTAGGAAGTCAGGTATCGTTCGATATTTTTAAACATTAATATCATTTTGATATATGATTGACTTGTGAAAATATTTTTTATATAGAATGTATTCGGCGATGTGATTTTTCCCGATGAATTTCGTGCACCAGCACCAGCGACGATTTCTCAATTAAAAAAATACTCGCATGAAGTATCTTCAGAGCCAATTGAAATTATAGATTCGAAAACTATCAAAATACCAAACTTTAAATACAATGGAGAAGGAAAAGATACGTATTTCTGGGTAGGAGATGGCCCACAACCTTCTACAAGAGGAACAAAAGTTCCCGATGAATATGGCTAGTAAGTATACCCAAAACTTTCCATTGAATTGATATTTCGATCTTAATTTATTCTTTTTTTTAGTTTAGATTCACTACACGCTTATAGGGGTGAAGATGTGATCATTCAATTACCTGGAGATATGACAATTTTCAATATCAATTGGTTAAGTATTTTCGACGTGGAAACTGCGTCAAATTTTGGCTCTGTAATAATTCCAAAGGAATTAAACGTGCCTCCTTCGTTAGTAAAAGTAATACATTCTTTCAATTTTGTATTATCCAGTCGATAGAAATAAAAATATCAATAATCCATCTCTCAAAGTATAGGTGATCAAGCACACAAACAGTTTGCCAAATTGTATTCAACTTCACAAACGATTTCAAGTTAGCTGGGAAATATTTGGTCCACAGATCACTATCCAATTAGCAGGAGACATAGGTAAACGTGACTAGATAATTGTTCGATCTTCTCGTATTAATAATATAACGATTCTCAGGTGAGAATGAATATATGGCGTTCGGTCTATCTGGATCTGAAACATCTAGCCAAATGGAAGGTGCGGATGTTGCAGTTGCTTATTTAGATAATATTAGAGGCTACGTGGTAGATTACAACATCACTGCCAAAGCACCAGTATGTAAATGCAAAGAACGTAATTATGTTTGCGTAATTTATGGATTCGTTGTTAAAAAATAATTAATTTTCTATCTTGAAAACAGTGTGGAAAAGTTCTTGGTCAATACAAGGGAGTTTGTAGAGACGAATTATTCGGTGGTTTGGATAACAATCAGTTGCATACTGCATTTAAAGAAAATGGAATTACTGTTATAAATTACAGACGTACCCTTAACTCATGTAAGTTGCCATTTAAAATAAAAGGGAAGAGATTGAAAGAGAATTATATGGGATGCATTATGTTATAGCTGATCCAGGAGACAAAGAATATCCAACTGATCGATCTGTTTACGTGGTATGGGCCTTAGGAAGATTGAATGAAAATAGAGAGCCGACATTCCACGATTTATATCTGAAAAATGATTTGAAATTAGAATTGGCCCGTAAAGAACCTGAAGATGCGTGCATGGATTTTACGGAAAATAATGAGCAATTAGTGTAAGTATAATATTTGTAATTTATAATTATATTAATTATTTTAATATGATCGAATAATTTCTTATTCTCTAGAGTACCTTGGGAAAAAGTAAAAATATATGGCAGAAGTATTCGAACGTTCAAAGCAACGATCGGTCCATCCGGAGGCAAAAAGGGTTATCAAGGAATTACAGGTTTTATAAAAAGATATAAATATATGATATTGGTATTTATTAATATTTAATATTAAGTAGTAACATAATAATTTAGCTGTTTCTTAGGACAACCATCCACAGGTTTGGCATGGTATATCGAAGGTCGATTGGTACCTGAATTATATCTACGTCGTGGATTGACTTATAATTTTCGTGTTTTCGGCGGTAATAATCCTCACAGCTCGAATTTATATCACCCGTTGATTATAACTGATGAATTACACGGTGGATACGATAAGCTTAGCGATGCGGCACAAAGTAATATTAGAGTTTTAGCTGGAGTTGAATTTACAAGAAGAGGACAACCGAGACCAACCGCAGGTTTATGAAATATATGGAATTTATTAGATACATAAGAAAAAAAGAAACAATTACAAAATTAATTTATTGTTTCTAGTTGGCCCACTTTGCTTGAGCAAACACAATGGACGAGATAGAAGACGAGATGATGATTTTGTAACATTCAAACAATTCAATAGAACATTAATAAATACATGTGAGCCAGGTAAAATGGCGTATACAGTTTTTTCTTCTTGTTTTCTTTGAAAAAAAATTTTTTTTTCTTCAATTGATATAATTTTTTACAGGAGAAGGTGGAAATTTAGAAATTACACCGAATTCCACGTGGCCAGACATTGTTTATTATAATTCATTTACCCATGCGAACATGGGCTGGAAAATACACATAGTGGATAGTTATTCATCAAGTAACGCTGTTGTTCGACAATTATCGCTAATCATAGGAATAATGGCTGTGTTTTTTCACTTTTTATAAAAATAGTTATAAGTTATTCAGGATAATATATTCTTTTTAATAAAATGACTGATTTTATAGAAGAAGAATGGATTTTATTATGACATGTTAGATGGAACGTTAATTTTTACGTTAAAAATGAATAAACAATGTATTTAAATATGTGCAATTATATTGTAATTATTTATTAATAAATAACATTTATAAATTACATTTACATTTTATGTATTATTATTTTAATATCTAATAAATGTATTTCTTGCATCCTTGAAAACATTTTATAAAATTCTCAAACATTCTAAATTTTTCATATTCAAGATCACATGAAAATCATGTGATTATATGAAGACTACATGTCGTTAAATTGATCTTGACTTTGACCTTAATTTCATAATGTTGAAAGATTAAAGTCAAATGAAATCAAACAATCTTCTTAAATTACATAGAACAACTTCTATAAAATATTCAAATTGAGGACTATATATTTATATATTTATATTTTTCGAAATCTATATCATGACACATATAGTTAGAGCATGTTAACTTTCTCTCAAAGTGAAATCTTCGAGAAAGTTGAAATTATTTTTTACATCACCAAATTTTATATCATTATTGCTACTTTTATTAATAATGTATATGTTTTAAAGATCCAAAGATAATTTAAATGAAATTCATTAATTTTCTTTTTTAAAATATAAAGATATTCTAAATAAAACGATAGACGCAAATAAAATTTAATATTTTTTTTCAAATTAATATTCAAAGATAAAATAATTTATTTCTTATTGATTTTTTTACAATAAATATTTACTATTCAACATAAATATTACATCAATTACAAGGAGGAAGAAGGAAATATCAGAGATTCGAAAGTTGTTGTAAGTGAAAAAAAAGAAAAAACTGGACTTGAAAAGATTCCAACAAACTCATGAACATTCTCATTTCGTTTTAAACCGTAGGAGCATTGGTATCTCGTAGCAGTGTACGTGCAATTTCGTGACAGTGTATGAATTCTTTTAACGAAATATTTTTACAAGTAAGTTGTTTACATAAATTTTAATAAATGATTTTATTATTCTGTTGTTATAAATAAAATATATTATTTGCAGTGGATAAAAAACCCTTTACTTTTAGCACTATCGAAAGTGATGTAGGAGAAAAATTGGATAAGATGTTTGGGGTGAGACCTAGTTTTTTAAAAGTAGAAAAGAATGCAACGCATTGTTTATTACCGCCTCAATTCGTTTTCTATGGAATGAAAATCAGAGATATGGAAGTTTATGAGGATGATGTGTGGATGGTCTCATATCCACGAACTGGTAAAAAATTAATTAAAGTTTATCTTACTTATTTTTAAATTAAAATATTTTTCTTTATGAATAGGCAGTCATTGGGCGCAAGAAATGGTATGGTGTATCGGAAAAAACTTTGATTATAAAAATGCCGAAATTTTAACAATTATACGTAATCCGTTGCTCGAGTAAGTTTTAGTATAAAAAATAATATAAATCACGCAATACAATTTTTTACATAAATAATTTTTATCGATTTAGAGCATCGGCGTTGATGGTCACAGGGAACTGGGTAGATTTATTTGTGAAAATGGGTGATTCTGTTGAAAATGTTATGAAAATGTCACGACCTAGATATATAAAGTCTCATCTCCCTTTTGAATTTTTGCCGCAACAAATTCATACAAAAAAACCAAAAGTATTTAATTAAACTTTTTATTCTGTTACGATTGTGAAAGAATAAAAGCATACTATGAAAAAACTCATATAATTGTAACATCGATATTACGAATGTTTCAGATTATTTATGTTACCAGGAATCCAAAAGATACATGTGTTAGCTTTTATCATTATTGTAAAAAATTTCATAGCATGACGGGAAGCTTCGAGGATTTTGCTGAGTTATTTTTAGAAGACAGTGGTATGTGACCATACAACATAGTGTCTACATATTGATCAAAACATTTATATATTAAAAAATTTATTAAAAAACTATTTTTAATTTAAGCACCGATAAGTCCATTTTGGAATCACGTTTTACAATTTTGGAAAATGAAAGACCAAGAAAATGTATTATTTTTAACTTATGAGGAAATGAAAAAGGTAAATAAGAATATATTTATAATATAAAAAAAGAATATATTTTAAATAATGATTTTCCTCTTCAGAATCAAAAAGAAATGATTAGAAGGACAGCAAAATTTATGGGAAAAACTGTGACAGACGAACAAATTGCTGATCTTAGCGAGCATTTAAAATTTTCAAAGATGGCTGCTAATCCCGCCACAAATTTGGAACAGATTTTACCATTGAAAGATTTGCCCGAAAATGAGAAATTTATAAGAAAGGGCAAAGTCGGTGATTGGAAAAATTACATGTCCGAAAAATTATCTCAAAGATTTGATGAATGGACCGAGAAACACTTAAATAATAGTAGTCTCGAATTTAACAAGGCATTGATTTCATATAACGAGGAATGAAAATTATCTATTAAAATATGTATATTCTATGTTGAGATTATATATAAAAAAATAAAAATAAAAAATAAAAAAAATAAAAAACAAAGCAATATGTATATTATATATGATATTTTTTTATATCTTTTAATGATCTTTTTTTTACTCGCTACGTCGTTATTCTTGTGTTAATGTAAGTACATTAGTTTAAGCTCATAAAAAATTGTATACATTATTATCGATCAAATATGTACAGAAACAAGATGTACATTTCTATGTACATTCAATATAGTAAATTAGTATCACTTACATGTTAATTAAGATATTCCATGCCATATTTATAGTTGTAAGACTGGTTTTCTAATAGTGAACAACAACTTCAGTTACTCATACTTGTATAAATTCCTATGATAATGTGGAAATAGAAGAGAAAAGAAATGGTAGATTTTCGATGAAACAAAGTATTTATTCGTTTAGTTTACCTGAAAACGTACACACGATGAGAATCTTGTTCGAGACTCGCGCTCGAGTTTTTGTCGATTCTCAATGTACGACGTTGTATGTCAAAGTAAAGATGGCGTTGATCCATGTTGTGTCAGGTGTTTAAAAATTTCTTTAAATTCTATTAAAGTTTGACATTGCACATAAGTGTGACACTTTGATCAGTTACTTATTCCATTCTCGGCTTTGTTAAAGATCGTCAATTGAAAGAAACGTGAAGGCGTCTGTCAAGAGTCACGTGTAATACTGCCCGCTAGTGGCATCTCGCACTTAACCTTATCATTACTTCAGTATTATACGATCTCGTAAAAATTTCGAGAAAACGACATTAATGCTGTGTCTTTTATCAGAGAGAGAATCAATAATTTTCATCGATCAATTTCGAGAGGATACCAACATTGATCATTTACACTGTATAATATAAAAAAGAGATATAAACTGAATTTGTGAAGTTGGAATTCGAATTAAATATTTTTAATTAAATACTTCTAAGTTTTGTTTATTACGTTTTTTCTTGAATCGCTAAATATATTTAGTTGAATGTTGGTGAAATATAAACCTGGCTGAAATGCCTAAAATAAGAACCAGACAAGCAAATAGCCTCTGGTTAAGGCAACGCGAATTGGGTATAAAGTTTCCATTAGGACATGCCGACTGTTTTCATAAAACCCTTTATTCGTCTATGAAACCAGTAACTTCTTGGGATCATGCATTATCTGCAGCTGCTGCGCACGGTGGAGTTTTTAATCTTGAATATTCTCCAGATGGGTAAATATGCGTATATTAAAGACATTTTGATTTCAATAGAATCATCACATATTTTTAATAATAATGACATTATATTTTTTCTTATCTTATAGCTCTCTCCTATTGGCAGCATGTGAAAAAAAAAGTATTTTAATGTTTGATCCCTTGAGAAGGAATTTAATCCACACGATTGATAATGCTCATCATGATTGTGTTAATTGTGTTAGGTACATATATTTATTTTTTTAAATTGATACTGATAACAAGATAATACATACCTGATAATAATAATTTTTTTTTTGTACAATAGATTCTTGGATCAACGTATGTTTGCAACATGTTCAGATGATAGTACAGTAGCTCTTTGGGATGCTAGAAATTTAAAGCAAAGAATAAGGACACTTCAAGGTCATTCAAATTGGGTGAAAAATATAGAGTATAGTCCCAAAGATAGTTTATTATTGACCAGTGGTTTTGATGGTAGCATATACACTTGGGACATAAATAGTTTTACAGAGAATAGTATTCTTTATACACGTGTGTTCCATACAAATGGATTGATGCGCACTAGACTTAGTCCAGATGCCAGTAAAATGTTAATAAGTACTACTTCTGGATACCTCATCATTATACATAATCTTAAGTTAAGCTCCTTAAGTCAAGACTTGGCAGGATTTAGAGTACGTTTTATTTTTAATACGTTCGTCATATTGTATCTTGTATTTATTCTTTATAAAATAACAATTGATTTTTATTCCAGCCAAATATGTATCGGTTAATGCAATCGTCTCAAACTACGATACCAAACGTGGCAAGTTTCACCCATCTATTTTCTCATTCTCGTACTCATAATCGAGTAGAGTTTTTAACCGATTTCCCTGTTGGCGATGATGCCGAAATAATATCGAGTTTGCAAGTACATCCACAGGGATGGTGTGCTTTATCTAGGAACGTTAGTAATGGGGAAAAATCTGAGGTAAGTCAACATACAATTATGTATGATTTACCTCATTTTTATGTTACTTTTTATATTACGTTTATTATATTCTTTGTTTTAGTGGACCTGTATTCATGATATACAAGAGCGTGATATATCCAGTATAGCGGAGCAGGCGAAAGAAGGAGAGGAAACAACTCCTCAGTTTAACGAAGTACCCGTAGAGGAGTTCGAGGATTTTCAACAACCTCAGCCTTCTCGTTCGGGTATAACTTCTTCTTTTTTAATAGAAAGTCCAAATAATCGCGTTAGAGTAATTCATACAACCTCAGATTCAACAAGATCGAACGCTGCCGGATTATCGGATAACGCGCAGTCAATTAGAACCTCGAGAAACTGGCAAGTGGCGTCACGTAGGGCATCACGATCGCAATCGAGAAATTCGCGCTTAGATAGAAATGCGACAAGAACGAATTTCGGTGCGATCGAAGTTAGTTCTACTAGTTCAAGCTCGTCCGATTCTCGAGTGAGCGCAGATAGAGACGATAGGCAAGCAGATAGATACATATATGCAGCTGATCTTTACGCGGCTGATGAGAGCATATTAGAGGAGGGATCCGGTGATCAAGAAAGGGATTCAGGACAGGATTACAGGCCACCGAGACCAAATTCTCATCTTAATTATTTAAGACCACGCAATATGATTGACAATTTTTCTACTGGTAATATAGAATTACATGTAAGTACAACCGATGTGTGGGAAGCACACGTAGCGATTAGGGAAGCTAGGCTTAGAAGGGAGAGGGATTGGCTTTCTAGATCGAGTAACAATACGGTAGTTATAATTGGCGATAGAATTAGAGTTCAAAATCGGAATAGACAAGGCCAACAAACGATGTACGCCATTCCGAGAAATCGTATGATTCATCAAAATACACCTAGATTAACGCATTACATAGAAGAACCTAACGTAGGTTCCGGTTATATCAAAGAATTATGTTTCTCTGCCGATGGCCGATTAATATGTTCACCGTTCGGTTATGGTATACGATTATTAGCATTTTCTAAGGACTGTTCAGAATTATCTAATTGCGTTCCTCCCTATAACGAGTCTGTACAATTGCACGAATTAGTGACAAATGTTAGTCACTCTGGCATCGTAGTCAGTACAAAATTTTCTCCAAGACATTGTTTGCTCGTGTCTGGTTGTCTCAGTGGAAAAATTGTTTGGCATCAACCCGTGGTTTAGTAAATTAATTATACTTTCCAACTTGTAAAGTAAAAAATTTGCTTGCAAGGAAACTTCTTGATATGTTACTTGCCAATTTTTCTCCTTTTGTTTTCATCTTTTGTTTTTTTTTTTTTTTTTTTTTTTAACGAAATCGATAGATCACACTTTAAAACTTTTTTTTTTCTAAGTATATATATATCTTTTGATAAATATTATTTTTTAGCTTGTCTTGTTTTATAGATATGATTCGTTACGAATCCGATGTTTTGTATTAAGCTAGTTATCTATGTCGAATATCATGTATATCACGTCTCGATTTTTTATTCAGAACACGATTTGCGTGTTAAAACGTGAGTTATTTTATATGTAATTATCTTTCATTAGTGATTTAAAACGGAAACAATCATGACGCTATTTTAAGTACCGTTCAATATAGAATGAATTATTTCATCTTGTATATTTAGAAAACTGATTATGGAGAATATAGTATTTTTACTAACGATAGAGGTATTTTTTCCAATGCAAAACATTTCAATACTTTTACGGCAGAGTACGTTTCTATCGCCATAGAGAGTGTAGAAGCAAGAGTACAGAAAACATTCCGTCAACTGAAATGTAGCGCATACGTACATTCATACGTAGAGTAATGGCATTGTCATTTAATAAATTGGGATCATGACACTTTTATTTCGACTGATTACACATTTCGTATCTGTACTTGCTTTGTTTCACAAATGATAGATTCTGTGAAATTCTTAAGATCTCTATACTTCTCTGCAATCATTTACAATAATTCATCAGCTAGGAACAAAGGAACAAAAGAAAACGGTAATACCATAGAATGAAATTATGCAAGAAAATCAACCTCGCTGAGATACGTATCATTGGCGTTATTGTTAGTATTAAATTTCGTAGCTGCGTATCGCGTGACTTAGTAATAAGTACTCGAAATTTTAAGTAATCATGAGCCGATTGTTCAAGTGTATTAAAACTCGTGTTATGGATCGCAGAGAAACGAGGCCTTCTCGCCCGCTATTATCGAAGCGAAAAGCACGCCATTCACGTGACTTTAATCCTAAAATAGAAAAGTATTATATCAATTTCCAACTCGAGTAATAAGAAGCGACGTTGCTCATAGACTCAATCCAGGCACGAACATACGATCGATATTCGTATTTAATTGAGTCAAGTTTCTTCGATCACGAGGTTCAAGTGTATACTCAGAAGAATCGTAGAATTGCTAGAACGAGTATCGCTTTTATCGTACTCAAAGTTCCGTTTTACACTCGTTACTATCGTTAAGTAGGAAAGAAATCGTGTAACATATGTAAATACATTGTCAACTTAGATATATAATGATAATATAAATGTAATAACTGATAATGTTCAGGCTCGTATGCGCCGCATTACTTTTTAAGAGACAAGAGTGAATCAAGTTATGCTTGAAAGAAGCAGTCTGTGCATTCTCGTAAAAAAAAAAAAAAAAAAAAAAAAAAGGGAAAAAAAAAGGTCAATTCTAAAGAAACGATTATTTCCATTGATCGTACTCGTGGCAATATTGGTAACTATATAGAAAAATTTTTAATTTGAAATTAAAACAAAACGGATGAGTTAAAATTTCAATAATTCAGTCCTTGATTTCACACTGATCGTGCAATTATTAAAGTGTAATTAGAATACAATTTTTCGACGCGAATTTTGCCCATGAATTTGTAAGTATGTGGGGCAATTGCGTCGTGTGCCATCAATGGTTACTTAAAAGGCTATTTTTAATGGTACGTCGACTGCGAGTGAAAATGCAAATTCGTTTAGCAATTTCCTATTTCACCGGAGAAAAGATGCGAATGTTCGCGAAGAAAAAGAAGAAGAGGAAGAAAAAGAAGAAGAAAAAGAAAAAGAAACTGTATCTTTGCTTACCGCGTTCCAGCCGACAATTGTTTCCGATGTAATTAGCAACCGACTGATAGTCGCCTGTACGCTCTTTATATTATACCTATACGGTCGTGTACAGTAGTTAGTGTGCTGATTGTTTTGTAAGATTTGTTTGTTTTCTTTTTTCTATACAATAAAATATTGCTTAATGTCTGTTGCCTGTCTCAATCGAGTTTTCCGTGGTTAACGAGCAATCCTTACAAGTGTGAAGATTGATATTTCGATAGGAATGCAATTGTTAAACGAGGTCTTTTGTCGAAGTCGAAAATAATAATATTGTTAGAAAGAGATATTTGATCCATTATACGATCTTTATTAACAATTTAATTTAACTTATATATACAATTATATATAATACCTTAAAAATTCAACAAACTGATATCAACAATAGGTTAGAATAACGAGATCTATTTATTATTCCTCGTCGCACCTCGAAAGTGGAAAGTGTTAACAGTTTGTCTCGTTGAATAATCAAGATATTACGTTCTAGGTATATTGGAGATCCGGTGAACTATACATATTAGCCATCGATTTTATTCGACAGCTGACAGAAATAGTTTGGTACTGCAAATAAAGGTTAGACATCTTTCTTGTACGATAAAGGACAATAATTCGTTAATAAATAGCTGAATAAATAAAATTAAAAAATAAAAGAGAGAGAGAGAGAGAGAGAAATTATTTCAGGTTAGTATTCCTTTCCCATGTTATCGTGTCGATTACATCGTCTACTATCTGCGAAGTCATTACATTACGCTCGTTCGTTATTGGAAGTTGTTTCCTGGATCGGTAAAGAATGCGGTAAACGGTGACACGTTAACCATGATTCAGTCAACTAATCATACCAGGTAGTTTACAAGTCCAACTTAGCATTTATACTATTCCCAATCAAACAATATCGGATATAATGTTTGCGTGTTCGAGAAAACAACTTTATCAAATGACGTGATAAACGATTATGGCCAAAACTAGATACAACAAGTTAAATACGATCGTTTGACCGGTGTTGACGGGGGGCATTGATATCGAATTTTTACCATGTTGGTGGTGATTTGTTTCAGAGCTCGAATTCGTTCGTATAAAATCCTTAACGTGTACGTGTCCTTCGTGCGGAGATCTCTTCGATCTTTCGACCAGTGTCAATCTAGTGTTCTTCGTCGTTCGTGGCATCGAGAGATCCGACGACGACGGCGACGACAGGCGACGCTTATCGAGCTGAGAATGATCGTCGAACGATCGTACCTCGCCCGGAATAGGAGGTGGTAGCTCCCCTTTAAACCTTCCGAATTGTGGCGTTCTGCTGAGAACGTCCGAGGACAGCTTGCCCTTGGACTGTTCCTCGACGCCAGAAATGGATCTGACCAGGCTGGAATCCTTCAACATTTTTCCATCGAAGGTTATCAACACGCCGGAGGAGGGAGGCGAGGGAAAGGGAGAGGGTGGCGGATCGTTGTTGGAAAAGGGATTGGAAATCGGTGGCAAGTAATGGACGTTCATCCTGTCGGCGGCAGTTTCCATGTCATCCGTTTCCGTTGGACGTGGTTTACCATTGGCGGACTTTTTCCTCGATTTCTTGACCACTGTAGCCACTGTGGGAACGGGCGGGGAAGGTATGAAGACCGGCTCGAAGTTGTCGACCGGTTTATGATTCGAAGTTTCTCGAACATCTTCTTCTTCTTCTTCTTCCTTGTCCTCCTCCTCTTCTTCTTTTTGCTCCAATTTCTCGGAACTTCTCCTTTGAGCCACGCTCTCAACGTTTCTGATGATAGGTTTAAACCCGCTCTCGATCACTATAGAATCTGGATCGAATCCCGTGTTTCTCGCAGGTTTTATAGGAGTGACGAAAATGTCGGGGGCGTCGAAGCTCGACGTTTTAGTTTCGAGCTTGGCCCGCTCGATTTTCTTCAGCTTCGCGATCTGCAGGTTATCCTGGTTACCCGGCGGGGGTCGCTCCGCCGTTCTCCTTCCCGTGTAAGTGGAGGAGGACGGGGAGGGGGGTCTGTACACGGTCTTCTTACGTTCCATGAAGATCGATCTTGGCGGTAGGGCGAGGGTGGGCTGGGGCATCGTATGGGCGGTCTGCAACATCGGTCGACGTGTCAACACCGGTCTCTTGACGAGCATCAGTTGATTCCTCTGGTCCGGTTGGTTGTTGTATTGATAATGATCACGGGGGAGGGGGGGTGGGTGATAAAGATGATGATAATTGGTGGCGTAATGGTGAGGCACCGGCCTCGAATACGGGATCTGTGGGCTGGAGGTAACCGGATATACGTATTTCGTCCCGTGGCTCAGTGGTCGTGGATTATCTGCAACGAGGTTAGACAATTGCTGGTTAGAGGATTGTCGAAGGAGCTCTGGTTGGATCTCCATGATTTGATGTCGGCCAGGTGTATAGGAGGGTGTCAGCCTCGTGGCTCCCATCGATTGTTCGCGATAGATCGGTGCGAGTTGATGTTGTTGTTGTTGTTGTTGTTGTTGTAGTTGATGATGATAATGATGATTATAATGATGATGATGATGGTGATTGTAATAATACGGCTGGACGAGATCTTGGTCGAGGTGCGCGTGACGATGGGGCTCCTTCACGCGTACCTCGTGACGATTGGGCATTGACGCGGCCAGGCCTGGCGCGCTGTACGAAGCTTTCGAGACGAGTGACGGCTCCTCGTACGGCGACGGTGATGATTTCAAGCGCAGGTAATTGTTGTTGTTGTTGTTGTTGTTGTTAGCGGTCGTTAGTAACTGCGTGTATGGTGTGCTTAGCTTGTCAAGGTTAGTCGCTTGATGATAAGAGTAACGAAGCCCGTGTTCACCAAGGGGATGATGATGATGGTGATGATGAGGAGGAGGATGCTGCTGAAGGAACTCCGCCGTTGGCGTTACCTTGCTTGCCTCGCGGATGCTGGGGCTGATCACGAGATCCTCCCTCCCCTCTTCCCTCTTCGGATCGACGTAAACCTCGTGATTCTCGTTCCCGGCTGGTTCAACGTCGCAGCTGTCGTGAACATTTATCTTCCAGCCCAGATAACGATGCGTGAAACACTGAACGATCGTCGATCGTAGAATAACTCGTAGAGTATTAAACTGCTCTCCTGGTTATCGGTTACGATATACATTTGATTCGCGTATCTTGCTTACCTGATAGTACACGGTGTCGGGCGTGTCCTCGTCCGGGATCCATTCCACGATACCTGGCTCGCCGTGGTCGCATTCCAGAGTGAGGGTACGTTGGTAAGCGCCGAACGACGTGAAATCGTCGGCCAGAGGTTGATTCTGATCGGGCAGCCAGTTGCATAGGCGGCCGACACCCGTTGGTCGAACCACCCCGCGTTGACGTTTCACGCCCGCGAATATTTTCACTTTCTACAATTCGTCGGACAATAACGAGGGGCAAAGAAATCGTCACTTTTCGAAGTTTTGATCGGTAACGAACGAAGGGAATCTCACCTCTTTCTCCTCGGGTGTTTTGTGTTGGTAACCACCGACAGGATCGTCGGTAATGTAGAAGGGATGGTAACGGGCCGGGGTTTCAGGATTTTCTCCACCTTCCACCACGAATCTGTACTTCTTTCCACGAACCACGTTGATCTCCGGAATCAATAGGCCGTTTATGTACCACGAGATACCCCAACCAACGTGACCTGAAACGAGCGATTTCATCGAAGAAAAGAAAAAAAAAAAAGAAAGAAACAGAAACAGGAATATCAATTATTCCTGAATAAGAATATTTCGCACCGGTGATGGCTGGGTATCCGTGTTTTCCACCAGTGGGCCCCATTTGGGCGTACAACACTCCGTCTTCCGGCTCGTTACATTGAATAGGTGGGATTTCCCATGCACCGGTCCTAGGGGCGGGTGCAGGTGTCGCAGGGGCTCGATGCGGTCGTCTCGTAGTAGCGACCAGTTGCTGCTACGAGCAGTTGAGAGATCGTGAGTTGCTCGATCGGGTTGGAAGTAACGCTCGTTAATAAAATACCTGATCGGGCTTGTCGCCGTTGTGGTCTGTGAATATCTGGGATGGTTGGTGGTCCGGGACGGGACAATTCCAAATCGATGGCCTACCGAAATCTATGAAGCGGTCCGTTTTCAGGTAATCGGAGTGAAAGCTGACCTCTTGCCTCTCGTTCAACGGACCGACGGCCCAGATGATCGGCTGCGATCGGTTCGTCAGGATTTGATGGTCCAGCTCGTCGTTCGTCTTCAATGGCCTCTGATACGTGACGATGCTGTATCCGTCGACCAGCGCCGCGTTCAACAATCGGATGGAATTCGTGTTCTCCTGCAAACCGCCAATCCGCGGCGCAAATTCAATGTAAAGCGACGCGAGGGGATCTCGATCTTCGATCGAGGAGGATCGAGGAGGGAGGGGGAGGAGGGGAGAGGGGGAGGTAGAGAGGTATCGGAGGGAGATAGCGAAAGGTGAAAGTGATTAAACCTGTATGCGAGTGTCGGGGCAGCTGCCACGTCCTCCGGAACATTGGGATTTCGCGTCCAAGAAGTAATCGACGGCGTAACCTTGAAGGGTTTGCTTGTCGACCCAGGCCACCACCGCGTCCCCGCCGACCATCAAGCTTCTTTCTGGATCCGCGGATAATCCGAACGCCATGTACTGTCCGTCGTCTGGCCATAATAACAAATACAGATATTATTACTTCGAATAATTTATCGAATTTATTAAATCGAACGCGTAGTACGTTTTCTCGATCTCTTGATTTTAACCAAGGTGATCATAATCTTTGAATCCGAGGGAAAAGAGGATTCGTTTTGCATAATAAAAATTCGAGAATGATCTCGAATTCGAGTTTGCTCGTAAGTTCTTCTCGATCTCTCGATTTTAACTAAGATGATCGTAATCTTCGATTTGATTCGAAATTCAGAATCCGAGGGAAAAGAGGACATTTTGCATTTTTCTCCATCTCTTGATTTTAACCAAGGTGATCGTAATTTTTGAGGGAATCCGAGGGAAAAGAGGATTCGTTTTGCATAATAAAAATTCGAGAATGATCTCGTTTGCTCGTAAGTTCTTCTCGATTTCTCGATTTTAACTAAAGTGATCGTAATCTTCGATGATTCAAAATTCTAAAAGAGAATGTTTCGAAATTCAGAATCCGAGAGAAAAGAGGACGTTTTGTATTTTTCTCGATCTCTTGATTTTAACCAAGGTGATCGTAATCTTCGATGATTCGGAATCCGAAGAAATCCGAAAAGAGGATGTTTCGCATTTTTCTCGATCTCTTGATTTAATTTCGAGAGTAATCGTAATTTTCGAGGGAATCCGAAGGAAAAGAGGACTCGTTTTGATAAAAATTCGAGAATAATCTCGTTTGCTCGTAAGTTCTTCTCTCGATTTTAATTTTTTTAAGGTGATCATAATTTGATTCGAGATTCAGAATCCGATGGAAAAGAGGATGTTTCGCATTTTTCTCGATCTCTTGATTTAATTTCGAGAGTAATCGTAATTTTCGAGGGAATCCGAGAGAAAAGGGGATCCGTTTTGCGCGAAGGGTAAAAATTGGAGAATATGAACGTTGCACGGTCTATCGTTGCAAAACTAAAATATATACACACGTATTATCCGTAAAACGGAAGCGTCGTGGGCGGGTGAACACGAAGGTGGGATGAGGGGAAGTATTGTTAATTAAAAGTTGGGGCCGGATCTTGGGGTTGGCGGTCGCGGCACGTATAAATTCACACCGCTTTCAATAAATGCGATAGAAGTTTTGTCCTTTTGTGGGCGACGAGCACGCGGCAACGCGGAAATATAGTATATGTATATATATATATATATATATATATATACTCACCAAGTTTTCCAACGAGTTGGGCGACTATGCTGTCTCCGGCCACGGCCCATCGCACCTCGAAAGCCAGCCTGTCCTCCAGAACTTCGCAATTCAGTTTCGACTGAAATCAAACGACAAACCGTTTACCATCTTTCGTAACAGAAACGGTTCGATTTCTTCTCTACGTATCAACGTGACGATCGATCCCTTATTCTCACGTCTAGCGCAAGAGAGTCAGTAAAAACAGACGAATAAGACAAGAATAAGAGCGAAGAAGTCTCGTAGGTAAGATAAGAAACTCGTTTGATTGTCAAGAAAGTAATACGTTTATTCGCATTAATTTCGGGTAAAAACGTACAAAAAAAAAAATGGATAGAAAACGATAATGTCATCTGTGCACATGTAAACATATATATATATATATATACACACATATATAGCATATAATCTGTATCTCGGTAAATAGGTATTCGATATTCGAAGCTTCTGTTAAAAAGTAGACTGGCCTAGGTTGGAAGGGGATTTCTTCAATTTCTTTATTTCCAAGCCCTCCCTCTCTTGGAAGAATAACCTCCTCTCGATAAGTATATATATATATATATATATATATATATATATAAGTATAATTAACCCTTGTATCACAGTCGAATAACCATCGTTCTCACGCTCTTGCGAGTTTACAAAAGACGATACATCTCTTCTTTCTCTTTTCTTTCTTTCTTTCACGCTTGCTTACATCTTAAATAAACCATATATAGTTCGAACTTACATTAAGTACAATACAATATCAATATTCAATTTTGCTCTTACTCGCTCGAATACTTTTCTCTCGTGTTATGGTATACGCAAAATGTGGGCGGGTTTCGAAGGAACGAAAGGGTTGACAAGGATCTCGTCTCGCCTTCTTCGATAAGGTTATACGCACACTCGTCATATAATCTCGATGATATTTTCTTCCACCACGTCTACGCGATGTTCGGACCAGAGCGCACGCAGATGAGCTCGAGAGACGCAAACCGATATCCAAGCGTCACTAATATCGACAGCATGTTTCATACGAGCTCGGGGAGGGAGAGAGAGAGAGAGAGAGAGAGAGAGAGAGAGAGAGAGAGAGAGAGACGGCAAAGCTGAATTACGGCAACTCGTGTATTGTTCGACGGGGGAACGTGACACATCCACCCCCACCGTGGCAAGATCGTACGTACATACGTGCTCTTGGAATAATAGAATTCTAAAGAGGATTCGAGAGATTAAAGGCGTGATACGTGTGTGCATACAGGCGCGTATATATCCGCCTGTTCGTTTTATTTTTAATCGACCAAAACGAAAAAATTTCCCTCTCGAGCAACAAAATGCGAGATCGATCGATCGATCGATTCCCGCGTTAACCGCGCGAATACCGTTCGCACACCTTTTTTTTCATTTTCCAAAAAAAAAAAAAAAAAAAAACAAACAAGTTACCCAAAAACTACTATCTAAAAAAAAAAGAAAAGAAAAAGGAAGATGAAAATTAAAAAGTACATCCAACCATATATTATTCACCATATATCCGCATTGTTGTAAATTAAATATCTTCTACTAAGCATACGTGTGTACAAAGTATAGATGGAGCTAGTTAACTGTGCATACAGCCGTTTGCTCAACGTTCGAAGATTCTCTCTAAATAGGTGGCACGGTGTTAAATAAATAATAAGAAGGAGAAGATCGAAGCGATCGTCCTCCACCCATCTACGACGCTACTCTCGTGAACCCACCTCCGACCGAAACTTCCAAAGTGGATGTACGCGCGGAACTTTACGAACGAGCCTCCGGCTAATATCGTCGCAGCCGCGCCACCTGAGGTTTCCACGCTCAGCTACCGGAACGAATGATCGTTAGCGACCGGCTCGCACAACTTGTAACGCCAATTTGTCGAAACGAGAGTTTGACCGAGTTCCACGCAGAAGGAACGGGAGAGGAAGGCCAAAGCTTTTTTTTTTTTTTTTCCTTTTCTTTCGAGACGATTTTAAACTATCGTTGGACGATTACTGGCAACCCTTTCGAGATTATCCGAATATCGTGTTTTTCTCGAATCAGAGAATTTGTCAAAACTGGACGACTTTGGATATTGCACAAACTAGTGATGTCTAAACTGTTGCTCGAAGAATTATCGTATATATTAGCTTTGAGCTTTGAATGGTGGTAATTACTTTAATTAACCATGATGATTTCCAACCGTGTTTCGATGCAAACCGTATCGTCGCTGAACTCTTGCTTTTCGAAAATGTGAAAATGCACAGTGAGAGAGGGTTAGAGGGAGCAATCGTCGGTTTCGTGGACCTTTGCGCTCCATCGCATATCGTTGCTGCGATATCTCCGTTCAAATCGAAGATCTGAACACGTTTAAGAGACCCGCCCATAAATTATTGCTAGCCTATCGGCGTTACTCGAACTGTTTTCGAAAATCGGATTCTCTCGTTCCTCCCTTAATCTCGAAACGGTGGAGAAACGACACGCGCGAAGAGGAAGAAGAAGAATAAGAATAAGAAGAAGAAGAAGAAGAAGAAGAAGAAGAGGGGATGTAGGTCGATACCGAACGAAAGGTAGGTCGACGTCAATACCGAACGAAAGAATCGACCCTTCTGTCACCTTGAAACCGTAACAGCCTCGCGTACGAGTTGGGGCGCGATTTTTCCACGGGTCTGGCGACCGACGGACCGACGGAGGCCCGATCGTCCTCCGACTTGTCGCGCTCTTGATACGCCGTGGCATCGTCTAGACTCGCTACATCGTCGTCGCCGTACTCGTGGGCAATTTGGGCCGTGGTTCCGGCCTGTGACGGGTAAGAGGCGGATTGGCGAAGGCGGTGAAGCTGCTGCGCGAGAGGTTCCTGGGTCTGCAAGCTGTTCGCTACCCTATAGTCGACAACGGGCCGGGCCAGTTGGAGCGGATCCTCTCGGCGGAGGATCGGCCGGTAGGTTGTCGGTCGTTGGAATTGCTGGTGGGCGAGCAACGCGAAGGAGGGAGGAGGAGGCGATGGCGACGACGGCGACGACGACGACGACGACGACGGAGTGGACAGATTTACCAGACCGAGTGTCTGTCCCTGCCCTCCGCGATGCACGTTCTGCAACACAAGGACAGAGACAGGATGTTATGCACAGAGGCGATTGGATTGGAATGTGTCTTCTCTTACGATTAAGGAGGGTATTTCTCGTTTCGGGAGTTGGAGTAGTACGATCGAGATTATCGCCGGCATCGGACGCTCGTTCCTTCGCACGGATGGCGGGTTGGGAGTGTTCTTACGTGGAAGGAGGCGGAAGGAAGCACGCTCGGTTGGAAAATCCTTAAATCGGGGGGAGCGCATTGCGTCGTTTTTGGCCGAGTCAGCTGACATCCACTCAAATATTGACAGAGACAAATTCACCGGTGGAACAATACACCGAGCTCCTCTGTATTGATTGCTCCTACGTGAAAAGCTCGTTTGTCTCCACGCATCGATACTATATACTATATATGTATATATATTTATATATATGTACGGAAAAGGGGGAACAAAGGGGGCCGCTCTCCGTCACGTGGTGGAAATCGAAGGGAAAAGACGTTGGCAATTCTCTCGTAACCCTGCCTAAAAGGTCAGAAACGAATCCGACGAGAGCGAGAAAGGCTTAAGAGAAACATTGGAGCACTGGAAATGGAAAAGTATCGGATTGAAATATGAAATTAAACTAGGAAGGCGTTCGGTTCGATCGAAAGAGTAACGTGACACAAAGGTTAAACGCGATGCAAATCGATCTAGGGGAGGAGGAGGAGGAGGAGGAGGAGGATGAAAGTCTGTTCGAAATCCCTTTCCACCTTCAGCCAGCTCGAACGTGATTGGCATTCGCAGTTTGTACAACGCTGTGCTCGTCCGAAAAAAAAAAAAAAAAAAGAAAAAAAAAGAAAAAAAAAAGAAACGAGGCGGAAAATCGCGCCGACCGAAAGCAAAAGTTCCTCGACTCGATCCAGAGGGGTGGAATCGTTTTAATAATCGTAATTAAACGAAATTACACGTGGCGGTAAGCTCGATCGGATCGGGGCGTCGCGTTTAATAAATTGATCCAAGCCGGCGGTCTCTCTCCTCTTGCGTCGTACGGACTACAAGAAGCCTTTCCAGCTTACCTGCGGCGAAACCCCGAGCATCTTGAGGGACGGTGGCACGTTAAGACCCTGTGGAATTTGCACGTGGCCGAAGTCGACGGCGAACGCCTCGCACCAGACGCCGAAGTGGCCGATCTGGTGGATCGTTACGTCCCCGGGCAGCGTGAGCACTATGGCTTTGCGATCGTATCGGCGGAGCGGTTGCTCCTTTCCATTCTCGTCGGGCACGCGGATACCTTGCGGTGATGGCGTTGGTCCAGCCCCCACCCAAAATTTCGCATCTGCCAAGTCGGGGGGAAGAGATATACGTATGCACAGATGTATAAAATATGCATTTACCCCCCAATTTCGCCCCAAATTTTCAAAAGGATGCAATTGCGTCTCTCGAATTTTTCTTTCTCACTTACCAGGCGCCTCACCGTCGTAGCTGAAACTGGGTATCAACAGGGTTTGGGCGTCAACGACCACGATCGGTTCGGAGCTGACCCCGTGCACTCCGTTCAGGGCGGCCAGTTTTTGCGGCTTCGGATAGTCGAATCCCCTTGGTATTCTCACGTCCCCGAAGTTCACCTGAGACACGCATTAATAAACGTCCATAAAATCGATGAATTCTGATCTGCGGTGAAGATTTAAAGTTTTAAAGTTCGATTCGGTTTGATAGAGAGGGCTTACTGTTTCGACTCATGTACACGCTTTTTCAGATTTTCCGCGGGGAAAATGGAATGCAGAATTCCATTAGTGAGGTACGGAAGTAATGACGCAAACAGATTTCGTTTTACGCGTTTTCCAAACCCGCCCGTTTAATGGAAATTCGAGCCTCGAGTTCCTGATCGAGCTCTATCATTCCGGGTGTATCTGGTGTCCGACACCGCAGCAGGGAATAAATTTTCGTCGCGTTGGCAATATCGGGGACGTAAATCGGCGATCCGCCCCGAACTGTCGCGGATAAGCGGTTTCGTGGAGCTCGTATCGTACTTTTTTAAACTGGAACTTCTCCTCGATTTGGAATTCCGCAATTCGGAAGGAAACCGTAGCCGGTTTCGAACTCGTTGTAAAGGTTTTCCAAGTTAATTAGATTTTCTTTCTTTTTTTTTTGTAAGTGTAAAGTTCGTTAAACGAAAAACGCGCGATTTTTGTTTTTCTCCTTTTTGAAATTTTTGACGTCAAACCATGTTTCCGAAGCTTCGAGATTCAACTCCTTGAAAGCCGAATTATACAAAGGCTTACGAAGCTTGAAAACTTGAGGATTGAACTTCAAGTTGGAGAGGATCTTGGGATTGAAGCAAATAAATTTACTTAATTGTATAAGCTTTATATACACGACTTTAAGAGTTGAATCTCGAAGTTTCGAAGACTCGAACAGTGTATCTCGGGCTCGAATTTTCAAATTTCAATAAAAAAAAAAAAAAAAAAAAAAATCATCGATGCTCTTCTCTCTCTTTCGATAATTTGAAGTCCATCGAGTCGAATAAATTTATACAAATTATAGAAATATAATTCACGCGCGAGAAAATTTCTTTTTACAGAAAACTCGTCCAAAACTTCTTCTCACGATTTCATCATTTCCACGAATTCTCATGTTCCTTCTCAGGGAGGGCCACCCCTCGAATTACCTACCCTTGAATCGAATTCCAATTCCAAATCCAAAAAAAAAAAGAAAAAGAAAAGAATTTCATTATTTCGATAATCGCACGGGTTGTCGATCCTCGAGATCGAGTTTTCGAGTCGCGGGTAGGCGTTGGCCGAGTGGCGATCCAACGCTTTCCATCCACCGAGGCGGCCGTTACCGAGGAGGAACGAGCGTGAAAGTTGCGAGGAAACCGAGGATACCGGTTTCTGTGCCGCGCGAGTCGAGGAAATCGAAGGTCACGAGCGCGACGCCGCGTTCTTTCTTTACTCACGGAGAATTCGTCGCACCAAACGGCGAACCACTTGATGTTGGCCATCGTCTTCCCGTCTGGCAACGTGAGCGTGATGTCCTTCCTTCGATACCGCTTCAACGTGTCCGATCTATCGCAGAAATCGATCGAATAGAAGTGGTTTTTTTTTTATCCAAGGGACGAGGTTGGTTCCGTTCGAGGAGGAGCTCGAATCGTTTCGAACGCGCGATTTCGAAGCTCCGCGGACGAGGGATAATAAAAAAGAAAAAGAAGAAAGAGAGCGAGAGAAAGAAGAGAGTTTCGTAAAGCAAACGATCGTTTGTCATGAAAGTGGTGTCATATCATCAGATGTGATTTCCATCCGTAATTTAAAAATTACATTTTTAAATTTTGGACTTGCGCCACTTTCATGGCGACAAACGAATTTTCGATTAATCGGAATGATGAATATCGATTTCTTTAAAAAAAAAAGAAGAAATCGACACAATGAACGTATCGAATGGACGAAGGGTCGAAACGATGAGAGATATTCTTAATCGAAAAAAAAAAAAAAAAAAAAAAGAAGAAATCGACACAATGGACGTATCGAAGTCGAAGATGGACAAAATGGAAACGATGAGAGATATGCTTGGTCGAAGAAAAAAAAAAAAAAGAATGTAATTATAAAGACGCGAAGAGCACTCACGATCCGCTCTCGTCCCGAAGTCTGATTCCATTCCCATTGGGGCTCTTGGAGGTACCGACGTAAAAGTAGGCGGCTGAAAAGAGATATAATTGTAATTGAGGCTTTCGAGCCGTGTTTATATCGCTAATTGCTCTAATTTCAACCGGTTCGGGTCGATCGTAACGTCCTCCTCCGTTAATTAATTACGATTTTTCGTTTTCTCTTCGGTTTACGGATCGTTGAAACGTTTTAACGCGCGCGCGCGCGACCTTCGCCGAGCGAACGCTTTCGATTTTATGGAGCCCGCCACTATGTAGAAAAGCGAGAGTGGAGAACGAGTCGAAAGGGATACGTGCGAGTACCTTTTACGGACTGATGATTAACTTCGCTTTAAGGCCGGCCTTGGATCGTCTAACGCGTTCCACACCGTTGATGCGCTCCTTTACCCTCGTATCTCGATCGAGTCAGCTCCAATTCTCCTATTACGAATCTCTCTCCGAATCCCGTTGTTTAAAAATATTTCCAACGAGAAACTATTACATCTACATAAATTTACCTATATAAATAAGTAATCTATATTATCTATTTATTTATTTTAACAAATTCTTTCTTAGTTCTGAATCCAACTAAATTAAATTAAATTAAATTAAATCCCGAAATAAAATTACCAAAAATCGAGAGATTCGCAATTGGAAAATCTTTAACCGACGTGAATCATCTTGGATAAAACTCGATCGAATAATCGAATCTGTCGAAACGAATAGAATTCGCGCGTGTCCATTCAGAAACGAAGATTCGTTTCGCGATAAACGCGAAACTCCTGGAAAGCGTGCGCCCCGTTATTTTTGCCGAGCAGGAGAAGGAGGAGGAGGGGGAGGAGGAGAGGCAACAGCAGCGACGCGTTTGATCGACGCGCGTGCACCGAAACGGTAAAGTTGGCGCGCGCTTCTTGCTCATACGAACTTGGTGCCTCGCCGTCGTACGTGAAGTCCTTGATGAACAGAGTTCGCCCGTCCACCGCGTAAACTTCACCGCTCACTCCGTGATGAAGTTCCGACAGCTTGCCGATAAGCTTGCCGTAATAAGCCGCGCTGCATATCTCTGTAAACAAAATCGAATTTAATTAATTAGCCTGGATCAATGGCGAGGGAGGGGAGGCAGGTGAGCCGAGATATCCGATGTAATTTAAAACGCCAACTTTTTAAACCCCTCTTCTATCATCTCCTATAATTTACCTCATCTCGAGTAACGAGCGAGGCTAATCGAAATAATAATTCCAACAAACTCCATCCATCCGCGTGATTCCATCGACGAGCGGTGGATGCGTGACCCATCGATCGTTACGAGGATATGCAAAACCGAGTTCCTCGGATGCTGTTGGACGGGCCTTGGGCAGCGGTGGCGGCACGCGGAGGAGAGATCGTGTCGCAGGAGATGGATCGCGGAATGTCAGTCACGTCGGTCGAAAGGCTCTCTCTCTCTCTCTCTCTCTCTTTCTCTCTGTCTCCAAGATGCCCGCGTCGAACGATCGATCATTTTCATGGCGGAGGCGGGGAAGGGAAATTCTCTGCGGAAGAATTAGAACGCCTCCTAATTCGTTTCCTAGTTCGTTTCGTCTCGATTGGAGCGCGAATAAACGACGTACGGAAGGGAAGGTGGTGGTGGCTCGCTGCACCAGGAATCAGGGTTAACACTCGCATAAATATGGTATGGCTCGCGAATATATCGAACGTCAAGGCCAATCCCGATCATTGGCGTGGACCGTTCGTTCGTTAGATGCTAACGAATCGCGGAAACCGGTCCGCGATCGATCCTCCTCGCAACCACTCCAAACCCTTTGATCGAGCTGCCTACCGTTACCTACCGTTACAACCACTCACCGACAGGATATCGTCCGTCCTACGAGATCGACGCACGCTCGGGCAAAATAAATCGTGCGCTGGATCCTGCCTACGTCCATCCACCTCTTGTCCGTTCCGTTTCCATACCGTTTCTGCTCGCGAGATAATCGAAAAAAAAATCGAGGAGGAGGAGGAGGAGGAGGAGGGGAAAAAAATTTGAAAGAAAGAGAAAAATGAGACGCGTACAACGTGTACGCGATGCCGTTAACTGTCGCTGGTAATTGGTGATGTAAGGTATTGAGGAGCGGCCGTTGATACGATTTCGCTCCATTACCATTTGTTAGGTATTCGATAATTGAACGGAAATATGTGCGAGTTGGTTTCTGCGCCGAGTTGGTCGATTTATGTACACGCTGTTCCAGTACAATTTTCCATTCGTTACGGGGGATTTTTGAGGTTGGCGAAGGAAAATCCTTGAGGATCTCGTAGATCTGCATCGATCTAAGCATCGGGTAACGGGTTGACTGCAATACTCCGATTCCGTTTGAACGACTATTATTGATTATTGGCTATTGTCTTTTAATTAAGTCGCTTCGTCCTTGTTGTTCAGATTTCGTATATTATTCGATACAGGAACATTTATTTATTTATTTATTAATCTCGGTGGAGAAAAACTGGTATCCGAAAGATTTTTCCCGTTAAATCTAGGGATCTCTTTCAAAGTCCTCGTTTCGAAGACAGGAGAAGCCTTTAGCCTTTAGTCTTTGAAATATCCTTGGAAATTTATATCCTTGCACGAGAACATCGGGAACATAGTCTTTTTCGATTTCGAAATGTAGGAACTGGTAATATTATCAAAATCTCGTATCGTTCGATGCGCGATAGGATGAATGCCTCGCTTCAGACTTCGATATCAATCGCTAATGAGAAACCGAAGCGTCAAAGCAGTGTCGCTTTCGAGCTTTGAGAGGATGCATTATGTCGTTCCAGCCGCGAGCCATTAGCGCGTAATTATTGTCGCGGTAACGACACGGTGGGAACGTGATTAAATTATTATACGTGCGCGTTCCGTGATTCGTCCATTCGACGACAAAAACGAACGAACGAGGCCCCCTCTTCCCCCCCTTGGAAAAATGAAACGAAAATGCGAACGAGGGAAGAGAAAAAAAATGGAAGAGGAAAAAAAGGGCAGACGAAGGATACGAAGATCACGTTCGTAAGCGAAACGCAAAGGGCCGCGTCTGATAGAGCTTGGGAAAAATTTGGGTCGACGAGGTTTGGTTTAAGATGGGAATAGGAGAGGAGGAAAAGAAGAAAAGAAGAAAGAAAGAAAAAAAGAAAGAAAGAGACAGAGGAGAGAGAGAGGACGGAGAAATACATATCTGATCTTTGACATTTTCATACGAAAGAGAAAGCAGGAGGCGTAATTGGCTGCCTCTGCATAACGCTACTCCAATGTCGCAACGCGCTAGATTCACGGCAATAGAGAGAAACGAGAGGTGTTTCGGAAGCATTTGGCAAAATCTCAACGAGCGATCGACTTTTTACTCTTTTTTGTTCACTCTCCTCGATTTTATTTTAACGCGAATAATTAAAAAAAAAAAAAAAAGATAAACAATTTCTAGATAACTAAGAATTCTTGGAGAAGTTAAATATCTGGATTTAAGAATCATTCGAGGGAAAGGATTTAATTTTACGTTGGGCGAATTGGGATATCTGGATACCGAGATAATCGGTATACTAGAATATCGATCAAACCGAAGCCGACATGGATGTGATATAGTAAATGTCCTAATAACTGTCATCTTAGCTACCCTTAATTAAGTTAATTGATTTAGACAATCAGTTGGACAAGCAAGTAAAATAATTGTCGCGATTATTTCACCGCCCGTTTCCGATAAATCTATTTCCCCTTTAATCGAACCCGAACCAGAACAATACTAGACAGAGCTATCTCGTGTGCTCCTCGCGTGGAAATTCACGAGAAATTCCTCCCTCGTCTATTTTCTTTCTCTTCTCGCGCAACTCGAGTGGTATCGCGCCACGGGTTGCGGCCCGATCGGAATCCCGATACGGGTTGTCACGATCGGTTCACCGTCGAATTAAACTCGAAACCTGCCTTCCTTTCATTCCTCCCCACGATAAATCGAAACTTTGGATTCGCAATTTGTAAACGCCGAATGCGGAATTCGATCCTCGTGGACCGGATTTTCCTTCAACGTCGTCCGATCGTTCCTTCCGCTGGATCGAGACGCGTGTTGATCCGTGCGTTGGACCGAAACCGAGGAGAGAAGGAAAAAGATATACGCGTACTGGAAGGACTGGTATAATAAGATATCCTCTGGTTGCGTAACTCTCCATCTATTTCTAAGCTCGATTCGATGGAATTCGAAAACGAGGTTCGAGGAGAGATGAAGGAAACCGAGAAGAGGTGAACTAAATATCGCGTGCAGCGGACACTTTCGCGAGCGGAAAACGGGGAGAAGAAGGATTTCATCGCGAAATCGTCGTCGACCGCGATACCGCATTTTTTCCCTTCCTTCCTTCCCTCTTTCTCTCTCTCTCTCTCTCTCTCTCTCTTTCTCTCCTCTCGAGCAAGCCGGGAGGAAAAGCGTGGAACGCGAAAGTCACGCAGATCCCGCGAAACAGACCGGCAAATCGAGAGGCCGATGACGTCGAGGCTTGCGCCATCTGAAACATTGCTTTTATAAATATATTCTCGAATAAGCGTCGAAATAATAATATTTAACAAGTTTCTTCGACCTTTTTGCCGAGATTGGGACTATACGCAGACTATACGCGCGTTGATCGATTTATCGTATCGATTAAACCGATCATCCTCCAATTTAATCTCGTACGAAATTTTCGCTGTATTCAGAATTCAGGTACACGAGAGCTGAAACTCGAGAGCAACTTCTCATTGACCGCTACGTTTAACGCGCAATTAACGTCCTTCCAAGGCGCGGATAACGAGACATAATACGCGAGGAAGACACACCCTGCATCGACCACGTACCGTCTATTGACTGAACGATCGAATTCGAGCATCACGGATCATTTCACGTATCTCGATTCCATTTAACGCATCTTTTCCTCCCCGTTATTTCTACGCGATCGTGCGTAATTTCGAACGGCGAACATCGTAACGATCTCGAAGGTGCGAACAAGGGAAGAGGAGAAGCTGCTCGAGCGCGTTAGTTTCTCGCGGTCCAAGGGGGTGCGAAAGCCTCGGCGCGATTTCGTCTTTCTCGCGATTTGCCACGAATCGGGCGAGAGAGATGGGACTCCTTCCAGGTACATCGTTGCCAAATTATACGCTTGCCGGGGAACGTATTCGAGCCGCCAACTTTGGTAATAACGTATCGTATGCACCCGGCGAATGTTTCGAATACCGTTTCGAAAGTGGTAAGTGGACGGATTCCCTGGATTCGAGAGGCGAACAACAACAACAACAACAACAACAACAAGAACAAGAACAACAACAACAACAACGATCTATCGACGATTTTGGGGAGAGGAATTTTCTAGGAGGAGGAATTCTCGACGCGAAAAGGGGTAGGCAAAAATCACTTGGGGGGAGGGGGTGGTTGTTGAGGGTGGCGGAGGAATTGTTGAAACTCACGTGTCGCCAGAAGAAGGTAAATAGCCGCGACTAGACCGATAGATGAGAGCCGAGTCGTGGACGATGTGGGTGATTGTGTCGTCATGGCGTCTTCGTGGTTACTGCCGTCGAAAGTGGCCGTCGTGGATCCAGGTAGCTTTGTCGATCCCACTACGATCGCCGGCTCGCCTTGCTACGCCTCTCTCTCTCTCTCTCTCTCTCTCTCTCTCTCTCTCGCTCCCTGCTCTCTCTTTCTCTTTCCTCGCTGCCCACCTCGCCCCTCCCCCCCTTCTGCTCTGTTTGCTCCCTCGAATCGGTCATTTCGCCTTGCTTTTCCCTCTTTCATCCATGCCCAACATCCCATGTTGCGTTGTTTTCGTTCCCTCCTTTCTTGCACGCCGATCCTTCCTCTCCACCTAGGGAGAAAAACGGGAGGCAAACGTGTTATTTTTATCTATTTTTTTTCTCTTTTCCTCCCTCCCCCCTCCCCTTCGATCCGATCTTCTCGAATTGAATTTCTTCGTCCTCTTCCTCTTCTTCTTTCTCGATTATTCGATTAACGAGTGAAGTCCACGTTCTCCAGGATCGTTCCTTCTCTCTGGGAAAAAAAGGAAGGAAATAGAATTGAACGGAGGAGGAGGAGGAGGAGGAGGGGGGTGGTTCGCGGATGGAAATTTCATCGTGCCTTCCCCTCCTCGGCTCGAGATCACGTTTTTCGGCGGTTCCGCGAAACGGCGAACGAGGAATGAGGCAGGTCAGGGTGGTAGCGAAAGAACGCGCGCACCGCAACATCCCGACCGCGATCCGACCTGGATGGATGCTGGACGGATCGTAAGGCGGAGCAACGCTTGACACCCGAGCTCTCGACCGACGATTTTGAAAACAATCTCCATTATAATACGCCGCTTAGTTGCTATTCGCCTTTCGTTTCGACATTCCGCGATAAAAAATACAAAGACATTTGAACGACGAACTAGACGGGTTTCCTAAAATAGGCGTGACACGACGGAACGGACTTTACTCCGTTCGATGAACGAAATTCGTCTTCATCGATTCGAAACGCGAATCCTTTCCACGTTTCGAGATGAATAAATATTCGAAATGATATAAACGAATTTGTTAAAATTCGTTTCGAGCGTGAAAAAAAAAAAAATATTCTTTCGACGAACATTGAAACATTTGGACATCGTTCGTTCGTAGACACTTTTCCATTTCGAATCAAATTCGTTTCCATTCCGTGGGTAAAATGCTCTTTCGAGACTCGTGTGTTTGGGAGAAAAAAATTTCAATTGTGGCCCATTTCCCCCCGCCTTTGAAAGGAATTTTAATTCGAATGGACGGCGAGCAATATCAGACGAAATTAAAATTCCTCGCGCGTGAACACGGGACTTGGACGACCTGTGAAAGTTTTCACGCGGTTCGAGCCGACCTGCCTTAATCGAGGAGAGGAGGAGGAGGAGGAGGAAATATCCGCGAATCACACGCGTACCTGTTCCAGCGCTTTTCGTTGTTTACTCGGTTGGAAGAAAGGCCACTCACGGTTTTACCTTACGGACGAGCTCACCTCGATCCGTAATGCCTCCCATAATGATTGTTTCGCTCGTCTTGGCCAAGCCACTCACTGACACAGATGCTGCAACGGGTATCTTGCTCATCCGACTAACATCCATTCTTGTCTCGTTCTATTAAGTTAAATGTTGTGCCCTCGAGCACGGTATTACGCGCGAGATAACGCGAGATATTAAAAAGAATTAAAGTTCACTCGAGTTCGAGTAAATATTTCGATGCTCGCATGATTTATCGATCGAATATCGGGAAATAGGATGGGTTCGAATCGTTGCGAATCACATCGCCAACCGCGATCTTTTCAACGACGATAGCTCGAACGTGGCCCCGTTTCGCTGGCAACCCGAACGTTTCGGCTCGATCGTTCGGCTAATCGCCGATTTTATTTTATTAACGAGCGGTTAAACGATAGTTGAGAATATATCGATATCGATCGGAAACCTGTGTGCCGGGTCGAGCGAGCGACCACTTTTATTATTCGAGAATAAACTTCTCAAGACTTTTTAAAACTCGAGAGTTTTACTCTCGAATGTTTCGAGGATACAGAGTTTGCTCATACTTGTTGCTCGTCATATTTGAGAATGAAATTCTCGAAAGTAACTTTCCAAGCTAACTTTCAGAGTTTTATTCCTAAACATTTTGCCGATCGTCCGCTGCTCCCTGACAACGAATGGGTATAATATTGACAAAAAAAGATCAAGCGATAGTTGTTGAAACATGCCTATCAGATGCTGACGAGTTTTAATATCTAAAAGTGAAATTCTCGAAATTTTGCAGAGTTTTACTCCTAAACATTCGATCGTTCGTTGCCTTCTCACAACGAATAAATACGATATTAACAAAAGGATTGAATATTCCTATCAGATGCTTTCGAATGGATGACGAGTTTTAATATTTGAGAATAAAATTCTCGAAATTTTGCAGAGTTTTATTCCTAAAATTTTGCCGATCATCCGTTGCCTTCTGACAATGAATAGATACGATATTAACAAAAGGATTGAATATTCCTATCAGATGCTGTCGAATGGATGACGAGTTTTAATAGAGATATCTGAGAATAAAATTCTCGAAATTTTGCAGAGTTTTTCGTCCTTCTCACAACGAATGAATACGATATTAACAAAAGGATTGAATATGCCTATCAGATGCTTTCGAATGGATGACGAGTTTTAATATTTGAGAATAAAATTCTCGAAATTTTGCAGAGTTTTACTCCTAAACATTCGATCGTTCGTTACCTTCTCACAACGAATGAATACGATATTAACAAAAGGATTGAATATGCCTATCAGATGCTTTCGAATGGATGACGAGTTTTAATATTTGAAAATAAAATTCTCGAAATTTTGCAGAGTTTTACTCCTAAACATTTTGCCGATCGTCCATTGCCTTCTGACAACGAATATAAGATACGATATTAACAAAAGGATTGAATATATGGATATCGTCGATGAGATGCTGTCGAGTGGATGACGAGTTTTAATGAGAAAACGGTATATGAACACTTTGTTCCATTATGCGAGTAAAATTCTCGAGAGTTGTTTCTTGCAAAGAGAGAAAAAAAACGACTCTCTCAACAATTTCGCTCTCGAATGCACACTTGGTACAGAAACAGTTTTGTCGCGAGTTGGTCGGTCGCGGTACGCGTGACCAACCTTCGAAAGAGGCGCGAAGAGGGAGGCGCGGGCCGATTGTCGACACCTGTGATCCAAAGATGCGCAGAAACGATTACACGCGTCACTTGGTCATTGTCTTTTGCAATACAATAGCCGGTTACATCGGAGTACACGAGACGCGGCGAGATAATAGGTTGCACGTGCCGGGGAAGGATCTCTCTTCCTCCTCGAGCACTCTCTCGTGGCCTGTTATTAAATTTAATCTCGCCTTACATTGCGAGTAATAATTACGGAATAATTACGAGAACGATCACCGTTTCTGCCGCGTCTCTCCACTTTGGAAAAGAACGTTATTACGGTACCCCCTAACGCCGATTACCATCGCGACGCGCTTCCAATGTTAAAACGCGTCGTATTTCGTAATTCCCCTTAGGAAACATATCCGGTCGATTTCGAAGGGACAACAAACGAGTTGTGTTAATTGACAAGCGAAATTAACAAGTTCGAGTTCGTTTCGATTTTTATCGCTCGAATTTGCTCGAGTTTTTCATTTTATCTTATTTTATTATTATTATTATTATTATTATTATTATTATTATTGTTATTATTCTTATTATTGTTATTATTATTATTATTATTGTTATTGTTATTATTATTACTATTATTATTATTATTATTATTGTTATTATTATTATTATTGTTATTATTATTATTATTATTGTTATTGTTATTATTATTACTATTATTATTATTATTATTATTTTTTTTTTTTTTTTTTTTTTTTTTTTTTTTTTTTAATAAACGAGAAGACCGGCCGAATCGGGAGGTTTCGTGGCAAATTGACTGACTCTCCATTCTTTCATGGGTGGACTGGTATGCGGGCCGGTCGGTTTCTGTACGCTTCCACAGAGACCAAGAGGTTTCTGTTCAACCTAGAAACCGCTTTTCGCGATCCGTTGACGAGAGAACGGAGAAAAGAGTTGGCTGGTAATTAGATATAATTATTACCCGCGCGGGCATCTCGATCGTATCTTATCATATCTTTGGGTTTTATCCTGGCCGATCGAGATTTTATCGACAATTGAACAAGGGAATAATAACGGCTCGATAGAAACGACGCGTGCGATTATCTCTTTAAATTTTTCGCAACGTATCGGAAACGTATTTTCTTTTCTTTTTTTTTTTTTTTTTTTTTTCTACCACGTTCGAGAGATTATCATCATCGTCTCAAATTTTCTTTCCTGTTTAAAAACGAGGTATCTCGCTCGTCTGATCGTTGATCGTATCCTCCTCGTCGAATATAGGACGGATAGGAGGAGGATCGGCGCGTTGTTGAAAGTGAAATCGGTATTGCGGAAAGAATCAGTGTTGCGCACAACGAAATAATTGAAGATGCCATGTATAGGCATTATGCTTACTCTTTGCGTACGAAAAAAAAAAAAGAGAGAAAGAAAGAAAGAACGATACGAAGAGCGAAACGAAGAAATTTGTTTGAAATTTGTTCGAAATTTGTTCGAATGTCGATCAACGATTGTCTGTCGATTCTAACAATTTGGACTTGTGGGTATTATATATTTTATCCCGGTTCTCGTATCGAGATTCCCGCTGATTTATTTATACGATATTGATATTCAGCGACGCGTGTGCGTTGAACGACTTTTTGGGTGGATAATTAGCGCCCAATAGCAATTATTATCACTCGCTCCTGCTTCACTTGCACTTGGCCATGCTTATTAGCGAAAGTTAATGAATCCGCCGATGATTTAACGAGAGAAAATTGTTTTGACGCCTGTTCTCCTCTCTTCTCTTTGTACTCCGTGCAAGATGGATTTTCTAATTTCAACCGCATTCGTGGCCGAGTGAGTAGCGAGAAAACGAGGACTTCGCGCCACTCTTTTTTCCTCGATCGAGTCTATATCGATATTCGAAAAAAAAAAGGTGTGAATTCTTTCTAAAACTAATTCTCGAGAGTTTCGTTCGAATCTGACACGAAAATAATTTGATATTGAATCAGAATTCTCTCTTCGTTGTGAGAGAATTCTATTAAAACAGAATAATTGGTTTGCATTATTTTTTAATCGTGAATCCTTTTCCAAGGGTAACTTCCAGGGTACTCCAAGTACAAAACGAAAAATGTTTTGCCTCACTTTTTAGATCTCTATTCGAAAAGATGTAAATCCTTTCGAAAGTAATTTCTCCAGAGTTTTATTCGCATCTGACACGAAAACGAAAAT